AAAGTCAGCAGAACTTCTATCAGAGTCTGCCCTTGCAAATTGAATCTGGCTGTGAGAAGTGCTGGCAAATCTGCACTTCAGAAACCCACAGGGTCATTTGATGGATGCATTGCGTAGAAGTGTGCACAATATGGCCAGCAATAATTGTTCATTTTTTTGTTAATTCAGAGTGGTTTATTGTGGCTTTTATATATCCAATGGACTCCCAAGAATTGTTTTTACTGGAAAGAACATTAACTATATTTAGGCGTGGCAGAATTTAATTTTTAATTTTTTATAATTTTGATCATCAATGTTTATTTTGAAGCTTTTTTTTCTGTTTTTTGTCCATTTCAATTTTCACCATTGCAGGAAATTATGGGGAGGTCAGAGAATAATGATTTAATGATAGTACACTTTGAGATTCAAAAAGTTAAAGCTTTATAACCATTAACACACAAATTGTCAACATCACATGTCAACAAATGCTCCTTGTACCCTGGTTCTGGTCTCAGCTCCCCCCTTGACACACACAAGAGAAAATTCAGTTCCATCCAGTTTGTTTACCTTTAAAAGTCTTGTTCCTCCTGGGGAAGATTTGTAAAAGCCCCCCCCCCCCCCGCTCGCAGGAGCTGGTTAAAGAAAACGGGGAACGTCTATCCTGCTTTCTGGCCTCCCTCTCCACCAAGACCAGCCAGGATCCCAGCAGCAAGAGAAGGTGCATCCCAGCTTTGCCTTTTAGTGATGAAAGGAGGAAAGTTCAGCCACCGGGAGAGAGCAGTGGGAGCTGGTGGGCGGACAAAGTTTGCAGAAGTTCCCCAGATGGGAAGATCACACAAGACGGTGACAATGTGTTTTAGAGGCCATTTTCAGGAGCTGAGACCAGAGCCAGGGAGAGGGGGCTCCGGCTCAAGAGAAGAGCTCATCAGGGGCGTTAGAGAGAAGGGTCCCGCATTAGCAGAGGAAAGGTCTCGTACTGGGGGAGTCATGCGGTGGGCATCCTGCATAGCAGGGCAATGGAGAAATGGGGACCATGCATGGGGGTCCATTATGGGACACAAGTTGCATAGGAGAAGTGTGATGCCTTTTAGGCGGTCGCCCATCTCTTCTCAGTTCCGCCTCCCACTCTGTGTGCAGGTCTAACCATTCTGGGGAGTGGATGAACTCTTGGGCAGCAATGCCATCGTGAGTGGTCCCCTGACTTCTGGGAATCCTGGGGCTGAAGTTGTCTTGGCTGAAAATGACCTGGGTTTGGGGGTAGGAGGAGATGGTGATTGGGTACAAGGAATGTTTCTGCTTCATCAGGCACCGGTACTGATTTACTCCAGATTTCAAATGCAGTGGCAGCGGCCGGGATCGGTGGCCACGAAGCCTCCCTCTGGAGCAAGAAGGCAGCCTGAGCCCATGAGCGAGGGTGTGTGTGTCAAGGCGGGGGACAGGCAGCAGGCTGGGGAGGAGTTGCCCCACCCTCCTGGCAAAGGCAGGAAGGGGAAGAGAGGCCGCCCCCTGCAGTGAGGGTCTCTGAAAAGTGAAAACCAATGCAAATGATGAGCCTCCAAAGGGAGGTGAGCCACGCCTGGCATTTGCCTCCTGCATGGACAGCCTTTTTCCCCTGATGCTTCAGGCAAATTATTGTGGGGAGGCTTAGCCTCCCCAAGCCTCTTATACATGCCAACCATTATAAACATAGAGTAATTAAAGAGATGTAGTCAAAGTTGGTCACCTTAATCTCTGACCTATTCTCTTTTTCCTGATATCTTTTTGCAAACTCTGTGTCACTCTGTTAATGTGGTAGATTCTCTGCAACCCTACAGGCAGCAGTTCAAGTAAGGGGGTGAAGGGCAGAGCACTGATCCTCTCCCTTTACTGAAAGCAGAAAGAAGGTTCTCCCCTTCACACTTTCTACTGGGCTTGGAGGAGATTGACTCCCCTAAAGCTCTACCTTCTCCTACCACCTCTTCACTGACTGATGGAAGAAGGACAAATGAAGAAGACTCTGCAGTGGCAGCAGATGTACCTGGCTAGGGGGTTTATGGAACTCCAGGTCTTCTTGCCACTAGGTGGAGCTGTACCAGCACCTGATAGGAGTAGAAGAATTGGGGAAGCTGGAGGTCACCTATTTTTCTTCTCCTGAAGATCTCTTCCCCTGCTGAATCCCCTCCCTGCCAAGTGGGGAAGAGAGGAAAATAGGCAGAGCTTGGTGCCTTCAGCTCATCCTCCAGGAGAAAAGGGAGCTTCTCACACAAGTTTCCCCAGCCCAGCCAAAACAGAGGTGGTTGGGAGCATAAGGATTATCCCACTACATAGTTGCACCCTCTATGAGTGCACACACGCACTCACGTACGCGCGCACACCCACCATTTTTGTTTGGCTGGCTATAGACCTGATTGAGGATAAGGACTCCTGCCAAATACATTTATTCCTTTGTCCTCAGACCAAGTCCCCCCACAGAAGATGATACCGGGTCACTTCGTTACATGATATCCAAACGCCAGGATGGCAAACCACCACCAACATTGATGAGCGCCTCCTTCTATTTTCATCTAATTTACGAATGCCTACAAGTTAACATATGGGACTGGCAGGGGGGAGAATTTAGGGACGAGTGCAAAATTATATTATGGTTGCTGGGGGTAAGTGAGGGAAATATCTGGCTCTTGTTTAGGACACTGTTTTCAACTGTGTAATGTCCAAGAAGTCCCCATAATAAATCAGTGAACGTTTTTTTTTCCCCAAATGAAAAATGTAATAATGATGCTGGCTTTTAAAACAGAGCTCTGCCAGCTCCGGGGTACGATAGCAGCAACATGCAATATGAAAGCACCGTTCTATTTACAATCTCTCTCTCTCAGTTTAGGTTTCAATAGACGATGGTAAAATCCTTATCTGAGGATGTTTTTATGACAAACCAACCAACCAAACAACAAACAAACAAACAAAACCAAGACATTTTCTCTTAACAAAAAAAAAAAAAAATATCAGGCTGAGGTCCTAAAATGAGTCTTGTCTTACCCAAAGAGGATGCCTAAATTGTGGTTTACAGATGCTGACAATTTGGTGTGATTGGCCATTTCTGTTCAAGATAGAGTGCTCTGTACTGAATAGGAGGTGCTGCTGGGAAAATCATAATTATATGAATCAGCAGAGTTTTATGGAGGAGTTTACACAGCCTGCCCTTAAGATTTTTTAAATTTATAATGTATGCAAACAGCAAAAGGTTCTATTTCCATAGGCTCTAGGAACCTTGACATTACATCACAAAATTGCAGCAGCACAATGCAACATAATCCAACACCAGCAGTGGCTCTAGTCAGTCCTAGCAGAACACTCACATTTACTCCACAAAATGTCTCTGTAGCATAAACCATGAGAGAAGCGTTTTGAGCCTAATAATGAGGTGTTAGCAAAAGATGGAGGTTAACACAATTTGTGAGCCACAAAAAAAAAAAAAAAAAAAAAGGATTTGCCCAAGAAAGAATATAATCAGAGAGAACCTTCAAAACAAATTCCAGTTACTGGATGTATTGTATGGTGCTTAATCTCCCTGTGATATAAACCAAGTACAACAATGTTTCCAGCAAAGAAGCTGGAGGAAATGTGTGAGAAGTAAACAAAAAGAAGCAGCAGCACCACCTGGTGTTTTTTCTAAACCATAGACACAGTGACTTAGTAATTAACCTGTTTGAAGCATCACAATCATGACCTAAAAAATACAGGCAAGGTCTGGTTCACTAAAACCCAAACAACCTTCTTTGAGCAACACCTACTCCCTTAGTAGTCAGTGCTGTAAAACCAATAGCTAGTTTAACACCAACAGCAACACATCATATCATCAAGATATTTTGGGTTTCAACACAGTGATTTTTGAAATAATGGAATTAGGGGAAAAAATGTCAAAAAATGCTTAGAAGACTAAGTCCCATTTCTAAAGGGCCAGATTTTCAAAAGTATTTAGGTGCCTGAATATGCAGACAGGCACCTAGTGGGATTTCAGAAGCATCTAGGCAGGTTAGGAGCCTATTTCCCATTGATTTCAATGGGAGGTAGGTGCATAATCTTGTAGGTGCTTTTGAAAATTGCAAAAGGGTCCTGCCTGCATCTTTAGGTACCTAAATACCTTTGAAAATTAGTCCTTAGGTTCCTAACTCACTTTTGAAAATGGGACTTGGGCACTTTTGAATATTTCCCCCTAAGCCTCATTTTAATTCGGGAACAACATTTTTATTGCATCATAAACTGAGGCTATGTTCAGTTAAAAGTACCATGGTTGATGAAAACTCTCATTTAACACTCCCACACCTTTCTGCTACATAGAGAAATAAATATAAAATGCAATAAATAAAACGTATTGATAAATATGTTACATTTGTATCAGAAAGACAACCATTGATGTTTATAAAGAATAGATGTTCCCCCAGATTTTAAAATAGCTGGATTCCTTCCTGATTGAGGGAGAGAGAAAGGCATGAGATGGCTAGCCAATGTTCAATTCAGTTATCCCTTGTCACATTTTCAACAAGTAATAATGTGCATATATAGGATGGGCAAATGCTTCTGGCATAAATACTCATATTCACAAGCAAATATGGTCGTTCACACATTATTACATTCATTCACAAATGAATGCCCAAGCCAGAACTGTAGGAACACAGATCCAAATGCAAGTTGGAGTTAGCAAATATGTTCATAAATAAATGTTTCCACAATTTATCCAGCTGTAATTGTGTCACAGATAGCTGGCAGTTGGTCTTGTGAGAACCAACTAAAAAGCTTCAGAACCTGTGCCTTTAAAATCATTCAACCTTGGAATCCTATGATTTGAAATGATTTGTAAATTAGTGTGCTGTATTAAGCGTTAAGTACTGTCACCAAGGATATATATATTATGGGGGGAGGGGAAACGTTTCAGAGAAAGAAAAGCAAAAGGGAAAAAATTCAATAAAAGTGTTAGGCACTAAACATCTGGAAATGTATATGGATAGATTAATACTGAACTTCTAAAGTTGTTTTGTAGAACTTACTGTGGGATAGGGGTGTGAGCAGAACACTGTGTACTTTCGGATGACACCATTTAACTTAAATGGGGGGAGCCAGGACACAAATACTGTGGATGGTGATGCTGCAGCAGCTTTAACTCCAGCAGGAGGACCTGGAACTGAAAGAGCAACATGTATAGTTATCAAAGTGGACCAACGCAATCGAAACAGACTGACCTGTATAGTACAGCATATCTAACAAGAAAACAGCTCAGAGGTCTTAATGTACTCAAGAAATGGAAAAAAAGGGGAAGAAATCCTACCAAGAGTCAATTGCATCCAGTGAAGTATTTGTTATAATTAATATTTTATATATCATTCCCCCAGCCCACAAATATTATTGAATCTTTGCAGAGATTACATATGTGAAATTATGTGCTCTACATATTTATTATATAAATTTGCATATATTTATACATATCTATATGCACACAATTATTTATTTACAGTAGATCCTTATGTATTGCATCACAAACTATGTGAAAAATCTAATTAAGGCTGCACAGTTAAACACTCAAGTCAGGAAATGCCATATTTAATTTTCTGTGTACAACATTAATCCTGCCTCCCTGTGTATTTGCATTATGAGAAAGAATTTAATGATATGCACTCATATTTCTTAAGCATACAATATATTGTATAATTTTTCTACAACTTCAGATATATAGGCATAGCCTCTTCCTATTGTGTACGTGAGACCGTCCATGAAATATGAAACTTATATGAAAAGTATGCAATAAACTGTACTTATTACAACATGCTACAAGGTCTTTTTAGTGTGAGAGCTGGTTGAATTTTTTTTTGGACAGAATAGTTTTCCACTGAAAAATGCAAGTCAGTAAAAAATCTAAATGTTTTGTGGGAATGAGTCTATTTCAACAACATTTTCTATGGGAAAAATTCAGAATATTTCATATTGATAATGTCAAAACATTTTGTTTAGATAGTGTTGAACATTTTCATTATCATTATCATTTCAACTTAGAATACATTAAATATTATTTTAATTATAGATACACCTGTAACATAAAAATTAAAATAAGATTTTCAACACTATCAAAAAGAAATGTTTTGATAGTATCAAAACAAACCATTTTGATGGTTCCAAATACATTTTTTTCTGAATTTTTGAATGGGAAATTTCAGCTTATTGTTCTGATTCTGAATTTCTTTTTAATGTTGGAATGAAAATTTCGGTTGCTGATCTGATCTTTTCAGTATCATAAAAAAATTGCTACTAAATACACACCATCTTAGGCCCTGGTTCTGAAATTAATAGGCACCACACAGGTGGTAAGGTCTGCTCTCAAGAAGAAGCTAGCGAGATTGGGGCCTATGTTTGCAGCTAAAGTTAGTTTCATAGTTAAATGCCTCAGCCTTTGAAATGCATTTAAGGAAAACTTCAGTTTCTACATGTGCATAGATAAATCAGCTTTGTCGTACACTGCCACTCAATGGGATCTAATATTTTTCTAAACAGTGTAAGAAAGCTGATTGGTAAGTACCACTAACTACAATTTTGCCTAAGATGCAGCCATTCAAAATACTATAGAAGCTTCCTGTAATCCAGCATTTTCTATTTATCCTGTATTGAGAATGTTACTAAGGGTCCAAATGAGGAGCTCATCGTTATATTCACATAAACCCCCCCCCCACCCCTTCCACCAATCCTTGCTCTGAAAGGCTAATTCATTTAGTAGATTCTATCCAATCCACAGTAAATATTGATGTTTGACAGCATTCAGCTCAATATTTATATCCAGCTCATTAGAAATGCTATTTGTTACTGCTGCTGAAGAATGAAACCTGGCTCTCCTGGGTAATTACTTAGCCCAGTGGGAGATTCCTTTATGGTTAGTAATGTCTCCTGAAAATCACTGCAACTAGATAAGCGAGTTTAAAATAATTTATTGCCAAATTAGTGTTTGATCCATGGGGAGAGGTTCTGACGGGAGTGGCTCTTATCTGTCAACTGCTGAAGGATTAATTCAAAATTGATCTAGAGTTTTCCAGACACATGAAAAGCTTTACTTTTCACTGGATTCCTATATTTTCTCCTAGAAGGTGTAGATATTGACAAACTTTAATTGCTAATAATTTTTCATTTTAGATATTCATTCAGAAAACCCTGAAGGATATTGCTGTGACATGTAAATCCAAGTTTGTTTTTATCTTCTCCCTCTAGATATATATACAAACATACATACACACATATCCAGCTTCTGCATTCAGGAAAGCTACATGAGGCTGTGAAAGTGTTCTATCCTGGAGCATAGAGTGGGTTTATATAATAAAATAACTGCAATGCTTATTAAATGTGATCCCTGAATATTCTGAAGAACCTATGTTTGGTGGTGATATGTGCTGCTGACCTTCTTATTGAGAGACATGCTCACAATCCTACACTGGTAGCCACTGTCACCCATTGCCACTCTTTTCTATGGAACTAATAGTACAGCTGGGCAGGAAATGTTAGAGTTTTTCCTGCTACAGTTTTTCAGATTTTGAATGTTTTTCTGTCCCAAAACAGAATGAAAAATTGAAATCACAAAAAATGTTGAGAGTTGATAATCTAGAAAAAATACAGACAAAAATACAATAAAAAATACAGAGAAAAATACAATCAAAACATTTCATTTTGAAAATGTCAGAACAAGACTTTGACAATTTCAATTCTTTTTTTTTTCAAAAATTTGTAGACCGAGAGATTGAAACCAACCCCTTCTCATTAAAAGTTTAGATTTCAAGTAACTGATATTTTCCCATGAAAAAGTATTTTGTTGGAAAATTCCTGACTGACTGTACCTAATAGCTTCTGGTTATAATAGGACAGATAATCCCACATGTTCTCTCAAAATTGGCTAATGGCTGTAGTGATTTTAAGAGGGTGAATTCAAAGGTGATCTTTTGGTTGCAGCCTGAGATTTCCATCATTCTCACAAGCTCTTTGAGTCCTCTAATTCCTAACATTTAGAAGCTAGACATGGCATGTACTATGGACCGCTTTTCAGTGACTGCCAGGGGTGAGACAGAATAAAGGTGAGTTGGGAGGAAAGAAAGACTCAACACCAAAACACTAAACACCACTTAAAGCTGTCCTTGTGATCAGACATTGGACCCCAAGCTCGTTCCCTGGACAATAGGAGCTTAAAAACAGCATAGAGATAGCATGTTTCACGACATGCAGGAAAGGGAGCACTTTGTGTTGTCCCTGTGGCTGCATGAAAGTGTGTTGAAAGGTGGGAGAGGACAATTATACTGAGAGGACTAGGATGGGGAATAGAATTTACTGATGGTGGAGCATGGGGATCTAGAGTGGCTGTGGCTCCAGGAGCTCTCTCACAGCAGGTGTGTAGCTGACTATTTTTCTTCACAGTACCAGACACCCGGGAGGCAAAAGTGCCATGAGTGGTACATTTGAAGGCTCTATCACCCCTGTGAGAGCAAAGCTTTGCTCTGTACACAGGATTTTGACTCTGCAATATACAGAGCCAAGCCACTAACGATTAAGTCTGGCACCCAACTTTTTTGGGTGGAAAAAAAGGCATTGCTGCCTAAACTTATATTCCCTCTAGACAATATGAGCAGAATGTTTTAAAATAAAAAAGAGTGAATTTGAAAAGCAAGACAGAAAGACACATGTATCTTTCTGGATCATCCGAGTCCCAAAAGCTGCATATGGCAGCTACGCAATAATACAAAGTCAGGCATAGCAGATTAAGGCTGCCACAAGGCCAAATTGGGCTGTATGTACCCACATCTAAGTATCCCTTTTTAATAGAGCCTTGCGTGAGTTAATAGCCCAGATTCTCAGCTTGTGCAAATTGGTGTCGTTCCATTGAAATCAATGGAGCTGTGCTGATTTACACTAGCTGAGGGTCTGGCTCAATAGGTCTATCTAATAAAGAATAGAGAGTCATTGTTTTAATTAAGGTTTTATAATGTATCATTTCCAATAAAGAAATATGAAGGAAATAATTCAATCCCCATACCATCAAATATAGCTTGTGAAATGCAGTTTAAACCCAAGGAGGGAGAGAATTAGAAAATCTATTTTAATTTTTAATAATCAGTAAAATAAATCCACGGGTGAAGAAGACACTTGGCTTATGAGTGGCTCCATTGAGAGTGAAAAGGGTAGGGTAAAATGCAATGAATTCTTAAAATAGGAAGTTTCTGCTCCACTTCTCATGGTTCCACTAGGATCTCTGAGCGGAACAATTACTTTCTCCGAAGGCTCCTGGGGAGAAAAGCTATGCAAAAACATGAATGATGCCACCTTCAAAGGAAGCCTCACTTCATATTCTCAGCTGGAACCTCTCTCATTTCCTAAGCTCAACAGCAACTATGTCTGACCTCTGGTGTCTAAAATGAGTATTGATTATTACAAGAAATCCAAATGCAAACTCATTTTCTCTAGCCTGATTTCCTTATCACTTACTGTTTACATTTGCTACTTGGGAAGAAAATATTTTGTCAATTTCAGGGCTGCTAAAGATATTCTGGATTTATGGACATGTATATCGGAGCTGGGAACCCATATTTAAGTGATGAACGGCCACAATGTGCCTTTATCAATAATAATGGGACATACCAGGCCATTGATTTAAGGAAAACTTCCTACTGATGTAAAAACAAGAAACAAAAACAAAAACAAAAACGACATGATATAACCCAATAATAATAACAAACAACTAGGAGGCTTGATGGTAAGGTAAAGACACTCAAGAATAAGTTTATTATTGAAGATTGGGATACTCTGTCCTCAATTTAAGTAGAGTTGAGCGACCACAAGTAGAAGATATGAGCTCTCCAGATCTGAACTCTCCCGAAGATGTCATATATTTACCACCAGAGTTTGTAGAAAGAGCAGCCAGCAGCATCATTCAGATGCTAACTTCCTCAAAGTTCAGGGGTGTTTGGCTCCAGGGCTTCGGTTTGGACCATTTCTAATTTTAACCCTCTCACTATCCTAGCAAAGATCTGTACCAGAATTAAAATAACTGCAGTGAAGCTGGTGTAAGATATGTATATAGATAATGTCACTATTTCATACCTACATATCTTAAATGAGATTCTCTGTTGAAGAATTAAACAGTAGGGCCATTGAGCTGACTCTTGCAATATCTGAAAAGGTTGGGCTTACTGATTTAGGGACAGATACTGCTTAACACCTCTGTGGTTTTTCAGGGAGGAGGGTTAAAGGAGCCCCCTCTTGAACCAGGCACAATCACTGCCTCTGTGCTTTTCAGAATGTGGAGACTGCTCACTCTATGCATCCCAGGGAGCAAGACACCCAAAAGGAGTCAGGGAGAAGGAAGAGACACGACCCTGGCCCTCCATCATAAGACTGGCCAACACACATTTGGTAGTATGCTCTACTCTCCCTGAAGGGACATAGCAGCAGGTGCTCTCCCTCTGTACTCTGAGGTGCTCTGAGAGGAATTCTGCCTCCCTGAGACAGAATTCTTCCTGCGCTCCCGTGGAGCAGCGTGTCCCACTCTTGACATGGGGGCTGAGCCCTCAGTGCTAGGTCACTGGAATGGAATATTTACTCAAGCATTGCCACATTGGCTCTCCTGTCACCTCAAATGCAAAAGTCCATTGAGAACATTTTACAGTATTTTACAATTTTAAAATTATTTTTAGACATTTCTTGAAGCCAGAGACATCAATAGCAACTTCAAGCTCATGGCGTTTTGGAGTGCCACAACAAGAAGGCTGGTGGTGATTGGATGTCTAACATAGTGAATGTCAGTGAAAATAAGGTAGGATCAGAGGCTAAAATAGGGAAAGAACAAGATAAAAATTACTTAGACAAGTTAGATGTCTTCAAGGCACCAGGGCCTGATGAAATGCATCCTAGAATACTCAAGGAGCTGACTGAGGGGATATCTGAGCCATTAGCAATTATCTTTGAAAAGTCATGGAAAATGGGAGAGATTCCTGAAGATTGGAAAAGGGCAAATATTGTGCCAATCTATAAAAAGGGAAATAAGGACAACCGGGGGAATTACAGACCAGTCATTTTAACTTCTGTACCGGGAAAGATAATGGAGCAAATAATTAAGCAATCAATTTGCAAACATTTAGAAGATAATAAGGTGATAAGTAACAGTCAGCATGGATTTGTCAAGAACAAATCATATCAAACCAACCTGATAGCTTTCTTTGACAGGGTAACAAGCCTTGTGGATGGGGGGACGGGGGGAGAGTGGTAGACGTGGTATATCTTGACTTGAGTAAAGCTTTTGATACTGTCTCACACGACCTTCTCATAAACAAACCAGGGAAATGCAAACTAGATGGAGCTACTATAAGGTAGATGCAAAACTGATTGGAAAACTGTTCCCAGATATGCTGAAAGGGCGTATCAAGTGGGGTCCCATAGGGATCAGTTCTGGTCTGGTTCTGTTCAATATCTTCATCAATGATTTAGATATTGGCATAGAGAGTACACTTATAAAGTTTGTAGATGATACCAAGCTGGGAGGGGTTGCAAGTGCTTTGGAGGATAGGATTAAAATTCAAAATGATCTGGATAAACTGGAGAAATGGTCTGAAGTAAATAGGATAGAATTCAATAAGGACCGCACTTAGGAAGGAACAATCAGTTTCACACATACAGAATGGGAAGAGACTGTCTAGGAAGGAGTACGGCAGAAAGGGATCTGGGGGTCATAGTGGACCACAAGCTAAACATGAGTCAACAGTGTAACACTGTTGCAAAAAAAAAAAAAAACCCGAACGTCATTCTAGGATGTATTAGCAGGAGTGTTGTAAGTAAGACACAAGATGTAATTCTTCCGCTCTAATCCGCAATGATTAGGCCTCAACTGGAGTATTGTGTCCAGTTCTGGGTGCCATATTTCAGGAAAGATGTGGATAAATTGGAGAAAGTCCAGAGAAGAGCAACAAAAATGATTAAAGGTCTAGAAAACATGACCTATGAGGGAAGATTGAAAAAATCGGGTTTGTTTAGTCTGGGAAAGAGAAGCCTGAGAGGGAACATGATAACAGTTTTCAAGTACATAAAAAGGTGGTTACAAGGAGGAGGGAGAAAAATTGTTTTTCTTAACCTCTGAGGAGAGGACAAGAAGCAATGGGTTAAAATTGCAGCAAGGGAGGTTTAGGTTGGACATTAGGAAAATCTTCCTAACTGTCAGGGTGGTTAAGCACTGGAATAAATTGCCTAGGGAGATTGTGGAATCTCCATCATTGCAGATTTTTAAGAGCAGGTTAGACAAACACCTGTCAGAAAGGGTCTAGATAATACTTAGTCCTGCCATGAGTGCAGGGGACTGGACTAGATGACCTCTTGAGGTCTCTTCCAGTCTTATGATTCTACGTGCTCTGACGGTCCAAACATATAGACTTACAAAATGATTTGAAAGGATTTCACTGTCTTTTGGGGTGTGGCTAAGACATACAGAGTGGGAAGCAGCATCTCAAGGCAGGTTCAGACAGAGTAATTGCTGCTGATGAACTAAAGGAGTTTCCGGTGTTGTAGCTGTGTTGGTCCTAGAATATCAGAGAGACAAGGGGGCTGAAGTAATGTCTCTCACGAAAACAAGTTGGTCCAATAAAAGATAAGCTCTTGAAAAATAAAAGATAAAGGTAAAAAATATTCCCTCACCCACCTTGTCTCTCTAAAGGAGTTAAAACATAGCTGCTTTTACTGAGCTCTGGAAGTAGAACTACATTTATGAATCATAAGACTTGCTCCTGCTTTTGCGGTTAATCCATTTTTGTTCAAAGTAATAAAAGGAACTATGTAAATACTGAAAATAAAAACAAGTCTGGGAACAAATACCTTAAGAAAGCTGAGCGAATAATGGAAAGAAATATACATTAAGGGCATGTGTCATAGGGTGGCTCTGCCTGGAGTGCCCTCTAGCAGCAGGCTGTGACAGAACAGGCATGACTGCCTCAGTTTACCTTCCCAGGCAGCCCAAAACCTCCATGACAGTCTCTTGCCTAATAATGTCTCTCCTTGGGACCAGTTTATTACAAAAACATAGTTCAAATAGCCCATAACAACAGTCCCCAAACAGTCCATTTATCACCCAAGTGCAGATAGTCCCTTAAAACCCCAAGACATCTAGTTCCTCAACACCTCACATATCAAACTCCAGTGTTTGCCATCACTCCTGGGCTCTTCTTCAGTTCACTTCCATCCTTTAACCAGGTCAGCTACCCCAGACTTCCAGCTAGGATATAATCCGCTCTTCCCAGCAGGAACACCCTTCCCCCAGCCACTCTGATGGAGGGCACCACTGCTCCTCCTGTTCAGTTAACTTTTCATATCCCACACAGGCCAGCAGACAGGCCTTTCCATTGCTCACCTGGCTCCCGCTGTCCACCACAGAGGTGTCAGCAAATAAGCCCTACACTGCTCCCTTACCTTCAGCCCGCAGCTTTGGCTCTCTGGCTTAGAAGTCAGCAGGCAACACCCTCTCTGGCCTCCAGCCCTAGCTCACTGGTTTAGGAAGACCAGCCTGCAAACCCAACTTGCTGCTCTCCTGCTTTCAGCCTTCCCCCACAAATCTCCTACAGCTTCCTTCAAGCACCTCCAATCTTTTGGTCCTTGACAGCTCTCACCTGCCCTTTCCCTCAATTACTCCTCCAGGCAACTCCCATTTTATATGGGCCAGGTGCCCTCTTAAGACTCAGTTAGGAGGCAGCTGATGAGTCACAGGTACATAGCCTCTTCCTTCTTAAAGGCCTAGTGCCACCCTGCAATAGCCTGATCCTCATTTGCTGTGAGGCCCCTTGACACCACTCTGTCAGTGTAAAGTGACATTAAAATGGGGGTAAATTTCAGAACCAACCCCTTAATACTTGGTTTGATTAACTTAATGGAATTCTTCAATGAATGAAAGTCAGTAGGAGTTGGACACCCCCTCCATTTCGCACTTCTGTAAATCCCCTTCCCATATCAATTTTACTAATATTTATGCATTATCTATACATTGGATGAATAATAAAGAGAAAAACTATTGACTAATTTATTTGAAAAAATATCACAAATGTCACTGAAGAAATTATTGAACTAATATTATTCAGCCAGCTCTGTGCCTCACACTCCTATCTCTGCCAAAACATCCTTGACCTTTTGAGAACAGATTTTCAAAGGTATTTAGGTGCTCAAAGATGCAACTAGGTGCCTAGTGGGATTTTCAAAAGTGCTTAGCAGGTTAGGCTCCTACCTTCTATTGATTTAGAAAGTCTATCTCAAGGATAATTCAAAAACAGGAACATGTCAAAGTTGTTAAATAAACTATTGTTACATTAAAAAAAAATACTAACATGCTTAAAATTAAACACATTCTTAGATGCTTTCCTGAACTGGGGCCTTAATCCTTAACCTGGTCATAAAAGGAATGAATAAATAGAAATGCCCAGTTTTTTTTTAAACTGTGCACTCAGCACTGAATGTGTGCTCACAACTCAAGAGCTATGCATGCAAATCCCAGTTTTTGCATGCACGCTGGGTGTTGTACACACATTGCTTTGAAAATCTGGGCCAAATCAAGCAGTGTCATATGTCAGGCAGTTCTTAGTTCTTACCATCCTCTTTAGTGCGGGTGAAAATTTGTTCACTCCTGACTCCATCTCCAGCTCGTGTGAATGCCAACACCTGGATGCTGTAGTTGGTATATTTTTCCAGCCCATCAAGCTCTAGTGAGGGCTGTGTAGTAGTGACATTTTTAATCTCTCCCAGCTCTAGGGAACAAAAAGTGAACCAAGTTATTGGCAATGCTATTCTTCTTTTAATCATATGTGTGTATATTGGTATGAAAATAAAGGGAATCTTCTGATTAAAGAATATGCACTCATGAAAGAGAAAGAATATTTTGTGATTATTAAATAGATACCTTAAATGCTCACACTGATCATTATTATAAAATAGAGCAGATGGGAAAAAATGACAACATTTGAAATTTTTATGTCAGTTCCTTTTCACATGATTAACAGCAAACTTGTTTTTAACTTTATAATTTATTTAGCTTTTTTTAACTGAAATTAAGCTAAAATATCAAAACCACTGTCAAAAGGGTTATTAAAATTTTGCATTTACTGAGAAACAGCTTTTCGGTAAATAAAATATTTCTATAATGGTACTGACAAGACTTACAATTTAAAAATTGATAATAATGATGCAACATTTTCCCCTCAAAATAAAAACATTAGAAAAAGTCAACAATTTCTACAACAGTTTTCATGTCTGAAAAAAAGCCATTTTGTGTAAAGTTAAACAAACAACGCTTTTTGTTTGAAAAAATTTGCCCAGCTCTACTGTAAAGCGCACTATGGTCAGAAGCATTAGTCAACAATAGATTTAAATGCAGTAAAACCAAATTCAGTTGCACGGAGAGATGGGGCTCATCACATAAACCTTAATGTATTAAGCTGGAAAACACGATTCATGTGCAAAAATGCTTTAAAAGAACAACTAGAGCAGAAAATATATCTAACAAGATAAGGACATTCAAAGATAAATTTCAGGTCCAATAGCTGTGTTTTGTGGGGTATAGTAGGCTATACTGTAATGTAGCTTTTCAGCAGTGTAGGGCCTAATCCAAAGCCTACTGAAGTCAATGAAAAAAAATTACCTTGTCTTGAATCAGGACTGCACATTTTCTCATCTTTATTTTTCATTCACCAGTGAGTAGTCACTGTACCTCAAAAGATTTCTTACTTGAGCATTATCACCAGTAATAGTGAGCCTCCGGGTTACATTCTGCCCTCATTTACACCTGTGCAACCTCATGTTTGAACAGGTGTAACTAGCAGAGGATAGAACTTGGCAAGACAATTGGAATTTAATTACAGTAACTATTCTATTGATGGATACACACACCAGAATATAATCCAGCTCATTCTGCCAGAGCTGAGACAGCTCTGCATTGTTAGCAAGAGTTAAAAAAAGAAAAGAAAAGAGTTAAAATTTATTGTTCACTAAAGTCCACAAAAAGGAAACAAATATTGAGGTGATATCATCATAAATTGCAGAATGTGATAAATTCATGCACACTTGATCACCTCCCTTAGGATCTATGTTAACATTCCAAACATCTGAGCACTTCAAATACATGTTGGGGGGGGGAAAAAAAGCTGCCCCAAACCTGTTTCCTTCCTTCACCCTAATTGTGGAGGCAAAAGCACATTGTCAGCATAACTAAAAAAAAATATACTGGGAGCAGATCTATTGAGGAGGATGGTGTTATGTTTACAGTGTCACTACTTAGTGTACACACACACTTTACTATGTAATTTTTGTTTCAAATCACATGGAGATGAAAAGTGCTACTGTCAGATAAACTGCAACTTGTTTATTTACCAAAATGGTTGAAATACTTCAAGCCATTTACTAATTACAAAACAGAAATCCCCTACATTGTGGGCCTCAAAAGCCAATCACTGAAGATAAGTCCATAATACAAAATGACTTCAGAGGTAATTCTGTTGACCTTAAGAAAAAGAAATGCCAGGTAGGTTTCTTTTTCCCCCTCTGAAAACAAGAAACCTTTGAGTATTTCAAAAAATATATTTTTAAAAACGTTTGTGGAATTTAAACAAGGATTCCTGTGTTTAATTTTGTTCTTCCTGGATGAATAATCAGATATCAGGTATTTTGATATTGCTGCTAAAACTAGCACAGTAATCTTTAAAGGAAAGGCAGTAGCTTCATCTCTGAGGAGGTAAAGAGGAACTGATGATACTCCCACACTTGCCAAAATTCTCTTTTGAACATGTGTGTGTTCATAAATAGTTTTGTAACAACCTGTCAACTACTCAAAGCTCTGTACAAAATGATCCAGACAGAGATGTATGATGCTCTGTGTAAAATGATGATGAAAGAAAATTTAAAGTTTTCTGGTATGCTTTTCATACCGGAGGACAAAATGATATTAACTGCCATGAATTTCCTGTTATCCTGTCATTGCTATTGGCACACACCTGATGGGTTGGTTAAAGCTGCTTACCTCCATCCAAGAGATTAGCCCAGTAAATAACTCTGAATCCCTGTAGAATCCCATTCAGGGCTTCTTTGGGAAGTGTAGACCAGGAAATGGAGATAGTTTCTGGTGATGTAGCAGTGGCTTGGACATTCCCTGGAGGGCAACTGGGCACTGGAATGAGATATTCACCAATTTTAGCTCTAGATAACTTCTGTGGACAAGTAAAACTGTACTCTTAAGAGATTATAGTCACCAATGTGAAACTGAATGTTTAAAATGCACATATATATTTTCTTCATAATTCATTGGAGACACAAATTAAATAATAATCATACACACTTCTTGGAAGAGTCCCTTTCTACTACGTTTTCAATTTTCATCACTTAAGCAAAATCCATTATTTTACCCTGAGTTTCTACTTTGCTATTGATGGAACTGCTTGGTTACTACTACGTTTGTTTCTGAAAGTACAGATCACTTCCCAGAAATGTCTTTGGACCCTCACTGACTTGCCCTTCATTAGGATTTTCCCTCACTACTAAAAGGAAAATAAATTCTAGAGCTGATTAAAATATACAGAAAAATTGATTTTTTGAATATCTTTGAGATTTTTCTAAATCAAAATGTACAGTTTTTTGAAAAAAATTCACAAAAATTTAGAACGTTTTCAAATTTTCAATCAGCTTTAACAAATTTATATTTAGTAATTTCTGTTTCAAATGCAATACTTGTTAATCTATCGTTTTGCCTTCTTGATTTATCTTATCCCCAATTCCCATAATGCCCTCACAGTGATGTTACAAAAATGTTGCCAAGAAAGAACCCATATGTGCCAGATATAGCAGAAAAACTTTACACCTGTTGCAGTAGTAAAAACATGCACGTTTCAGTGAATTGTCTTCCATCATGCTGTACTCTGTCTAGTACTAACAGGATCTGCAGTAAATGTAAAACACCAGTGTTCTCTGAAGCATATGCCTCAAACACTGTAACACTCAAGAATGTACAAATGTGTTACTCTGTTTAACATACATAAAGTCAGATTCTCAGTTGGTGTAAGATGGCATTGACTTTAGTGGATTTATGCCAATCTAAATTGCTGAAAATCTGGCTTTTGATATCTTCCTTGGTTGCTTGTGTTAGAATTTACTTTTATACTGTTTTAAAGTATTAAAGTCTTCTCTATAGCATATGGAATAACTCTTTTTTTCCACTAGAGGACTCTCTATCATTATTTGAGAAGTGCTCTTCTGTGTGGTTTAGAAAAATAATTCTGAATTGCTTTTCTCAGTGGACAGCCTGAAATATACAGAAAGTGCCAGTGACTTTTCTTTTATTAGTTTGGACATTCTTGGAAAAACTCATGTCTCATTTTAGGTTGGCAAATTATGTTACTGCATAAACATAGCTCTGGGTTTCACTTATCTGAAAAAAATAGTTACTTCAGTTTTAGTATTTTTACTTTACGAGATATCAAACCACACTACGATCCTATGCTGAGAGCATGAAACTGGCAACTGAGTCAATATCAAAACAAGGGTGTTGCTAAGAAAGGCTATGTTCTCAATCAAGTTCTCTCACAACTGCAGATGTTATTAAATCAGAACAGTCCTATTTCTTAAACTGAACTATATTGCATAGCTAGCAATTTGAAATTTGTACACAACACGCAGGCTGATTTGTTCCCTCCCACCTGTCTATAATATAACTATCGTTTCCCAATGTAACCATTCTCTTATCCACTATATAATGAACACTAATCAGGCAGTAGATACAATTAGGTCAACATATCCATCAGTGAGAATAAAAGGCCTGATAAAGAAGTCATAAAATGTGTGCAATGGTATATATGATATTTGCTTGCCTAGGACCTACCATCCTCTAGGGTAGTGGTGATGATTTCCTGAGAAGAAGGTCCTATTCCAGCCCGGTTACATGCCTGTACTACCATGCCATACTGGGTGAATTTCTTCAGGTTATCCAGGGTATAAACTTCACTATCTCCAGTGGTGTCAATACTGATGATGTTGAACTGGAAATTGCCCCCTGCACTGTACTCCCGGTAGCCTATCTGGTATCCACGAATAATTCCATTTTGCAAGTGCTTCTTTGGAGCCTGAACAGGATAGGAAATATTATATGTTAAGAATATATGTGGAAATGCAAATAAATTCTGTCCCTTAAGCACTTTGAACTGCACAGAAAGTCAACGTTTTCTTTAAATGAACAGCACTCTATTTTTAGGTCATAAATTGAGGGAGTCACTGTTCAAAAGGAAACCACTCTTTACTATGCTAAACAAATTTCGGGCCAAGTTGTTTATTACCCAGGATATAATCACCAATGAGTTAAAAAGAATTCCAGACTGTTATTTTACTAAAATAGCTAATGGTGAAATATTTTTGAAGCCTAATTCAGATTTGGAAGTTTTGTCTGGATAAATCAAGACACTGAGGCAGCCACGTCTGTTGTGGGCACATAGATGACCTCTGAAGGCAGTAGTGAATCAGAATGTAGGAATTTCTACACTGAATGGCTATTGAAACAAGTGTTTGGTATCCAATGTTAAAAAATGTGCCCAGTAAATGTATTGTACACTATAGTTCTGAGTCACCATACAAGAGTCCTGCACTCTGACTGACAGATCTTTCCATTTCAGTAGACTGTAGCATAAAATATAGTAGAAAATAAAATAAGCATTGTTAACTTGGTGAGAAAGTCTATTAGTAACAGAAATGTTTGTTACGTTTCCACTTACGTAGATGCTGAAATTTGTTGAACTACTCTTTATTTCATTTTGTAAAAATGTTCCCATCTAATGCTCTGGGTGCATATACAATTATTGTAAAAATTATAACTACCACTTAGGGTCCATGTACAAAAACTAACACACACACACACACACACACACACATCCCATCAGACTACCCAGATAAGCTCTCCCACTATCATCAGCACACCATACTGAAGTCTATAATCAGATTTCCTAGAGTAACAGGATTTTATTTTCAGATGCCTTGTTTATTTTCCGCTGCATTTGGTTTCCAAAAAAGGAGACAAAGCTTCAGGCAGGAATCTTTTCTTAGGACAAGAATATACTTCAATTCCCCCAGTAACAACACATTTTCTAAGAGAGTGGTTGGCTCATCTTTTACTGTTTCAATGTGGACCTTTAGCTAATAAGAAGTAGTAAAGACAAATATACATAGCCTAATCACTAAGCCCTCACACACCAAATCCTCACTGATTTCAGCAGAAGTATGCAAAAGAGATGCAGAATCAGGGCCTAAGTTCATGCATGAGACCTCAGGTGGGAGTAGAACCATGCTTTCTGATATATAATAGACCAGTTATTTTTCTTGGTTTCCTGAATAACTCTGTCCTGTTGGGTGACTGAAGACATTTCTTTAAAAAGTCACATCTTATAAAAAATGCATTAGCTGCCAGTGTGGCATCATAGTCTCAATACGTTTACAGTTTCTTGCTCTTTAAATGACTGTAAAACTTCATATTTTACCATGGGGCGGGGTAAGCTGGTTGGAATTTAAAAAATCTGGATATCTTCATGGGAATGCAGACGTTTGTCCCAGTTAAGAAGGAAATATCACAGTTATATTTTAGTGGTTAAGTGGGTAAGTAAAAGGCAAGTAGTTTTCTTGATGGAAGCACTCTGCACTCTGTTTCATAACCACTGCATAAAATGTGGACCATCTTTGTGAATGGACAGTGTAGTTTTGTTGTTTGAGTAAAAAAACCATCCAAAAACAAAAACAAAACAAAAAATCCACCAGAGCATAGACAGCAGAATTATTAGAATACTCAGTTAACTGGTCATTCATTCACTTTCTTGCTTATATGTCCTTTTCTTATAATTTGTTGAAATTGAAAATTTGTTAAAAATTTTCTGTCAAAACTTTTTTTAGATGGAAAACTATTTTTTGTGTGAAAACAGTCTCAATGGAAAATTTTGATTTTTTTTTTGTTCAAAAGCTGAATGTCTGAAAACCAAAACGCTAAAATAGGGTGCAGATGTGGCAGTAGAGGCAGGGGCTTAGATGCCCTGAGTATGATCCTATTTGAAATGCTGGACACACACATGGAGTGGCTAGACTTGCCTGCTGCTCCTGCCACCACAGCTACAGTCTATTTTCAGTGTGCTGGCTTGATTAGAGCTAGCTTGGGTCTGTCTCCTCAAGCTAGAATTTATACCTACAGGTTGAAGTGCAGACATACCTGATTAGCCATTCTGAGACAGGTGTCTTTTTCTGACCAGAAACTCCACCCTGTACTTCAGAAAGTTTTGCTGAAAACGATATATACCTCTACCCCGATATAATGCGACCCGATAGAACACAAATTCTGATATAACGCGGTAAAGCAGTGCTCTGGGGAGGTAGGGCTGCGCACTCCGGTGGATCAAAGCAAGTTCGATATAACGCGGTTTCACCTATAAAGCGGTAAGATTTTTTGGCTCCTGAGGACAGCGTTATATCGAGGTAGAGGTGTATTGCTGCACTAAGTTTCAGCTGGGACAAATCAGCATTTTCTGACCAAAAAATTCCTGACCAGCTTGTGCCTAAATATGGATTTTTGAGCCTTACTCTATGTGAGCAGGTTTGAAAATGTTAGCTGCAATGTTTTACTGTTGTACTTTTTATATAGCAAGAACCAGGGGTCACCCAATAAAATTACTTGGCAGCATGTTTAAAAACAGACATAAGGAAGTGCTTCTCACAACATACAGTCAACCTGTGGAAATTGTTGCCTGGGGATGATATGAAGGGCAAATGTATAACTGGGTTCAAAAAAGAACTAGATAAGTTAATGGAGGACAGGTCCATGAATGGGTATTAGCCAAGATGATCAGGGACACAACCCTATGCTCTGAGTGTCCATAGCCTCTGACTGCCAGAAGGTGAGACTGGATAACAAGGGATGGATCACTCCATAATTGCCCTGTTCTGTTCACTCCCTCTGCAGCATCTGGCACTAGCCACTGTCAGAAGACAGGATACTGGGCTAGATGGACCATTGGTCTGACGCAGTGTGGCCTTTCTTATGTTCTTATCTTATCTTATGCAAAGCAATAAGGATGCAGCCTGTTTGTATCCAAGAGGTTGTGTACATGTCACTTGTATAGCAAAGTGCTCATTCCACCCCTAAATGGGGCCATAGAGACTAAGGCCCAGAGTCTCCCTGTCAGAAAAGAAGTCTCCCAGTAAGGATCATGATGGGTGAACAGTAGTCCTAAGGGAAGGGCACAGGAGGGCTACTGGCAGAGTAGTAGCCTGAACTTAACCAGTGAGGGAGATCCTTGGTCAAAAAAGAAAAGAAAAGAAAAGAAAAGAAAAGAAAAGAAAAGAAAAGAAAAGAAAGAAGAAGTCATCTTGTTTCAAACACCATGGTGAAACCTACCATTGTTTAGATGAGCCAACAGATCATCTGTGGACACTTTATATTCTAGAACAACTCTAAATACCACTGAATCAAAGTGACCGGTTTCTTGCCCGACACCTGGGGAACTGAGAGCAAGGGAGACTGGTGCAGCTGTAACCAAAATGTACTACTTCTTAACACACCATACTGAACCGAAAATAATTTTAATTAAGTGAATATCATGCCTCTTATGGTGCCTCTCTAGAGCAGAAGAGTGAAGGTTGTGGTTCATGGTCTATGGTGCATGATAGCTGCAATAGAGTTAAGGTGTGTTTTTATGGTTAGAAGAATAGAGGGTCTGTATTGATATGTGGCTTTAACGTCCATTTCCTTGCTTTTGTGGTTTATGTCAGGTAGGTTGAGTGTGTAGCAACTTTAACTGTTGCACTATTATTATTAATACTATTATTTATTTGTATATGAGTTATAATAAATTATCTTACTGCTACATTATAGTGTGTCATTTGTTCTTTCAGTATAATGTGCTCTTGCATGTTCCTTTTATTATAAAGTGTACAATGCCATCACTTGAAAAGTGTTGTAGTTTCATAGAGCAAATCAGTCTTGGCCTTGATTCTGAATGCCCTCTGTACAAGAAAGGGACCAAGAAAAATACAACTACAGCTGCACTCATTTAGATGCATTTACTTTCCTGACAGCACACAAAGACTAGGTAGTTAAATGTCTAAATGGATACAATTGAAGGCACAGCTAATTGTGCCCACATTTAATTAAGAATGCAAAATTGTACCTATGATGATGGAGGCAATTTTTGAAAATTTAGGCCAGGAAGTTTCATTTCAGCTGTAAATATCTGCGTGGATGTGAGTCCATAATGCTTAAGAGGAGATTTTCAAAAGACACCAATGGGCAATGAGGTGCATAACTCCCACAGAAAGTCAATGGTGCCTAACTCCCATTTGTGCTTTTGGAAATCTCCTCCAAAATCAGCCTTTAAGTATTTCTTCATATAAGGCCAGAGTCAGTATACAGTGTACATTATTTCAGAAGATGACTATGTGCTCTCCTGCTAATGGTAAAATATATTAAAGTATGGCACTTCATGTACCCTCTTTAGCTTTCTCTACTGGTATGTTATGGAGCTTCATTTTGCCTACTATATGATGCTATTCTTTGTAGCCACAAACCATTGCTACCTGTGAAAACCACAGCAACAAAAAGTATAACTGTACGACATGAAGGTGATGCAAATATTATAACTGTATATCTGACAACTAAAAAAGGACTAGCAAAGAATTTTTGCCTGATTGAACAAGTCAGGGCAAAATCACTTCCTTACACATCACAGGAATTTTAAATAGGATGCAATTTGCTGCATTTTATAATTTTATCATCTCCCTTCCCAATCTGAATAATTATATTTTGCTATTAGATTTATATACTAAATGCAATGCTTTGCAGATGACACATGCACACAAAGAACAATGCATACCTCAGCAGCAAAGGAGAATCATCCCCAGAAACCGAGAGCACTGAGGAAAAACCTTGTTTTGTGCAAAGCACTTTTAATATTATTTGTACTTTCATGTCACCCTCATGTTTGTGGGGTGGAGAAGAATAAATTTAGGACTGATGATAGGGAAACCTGTATTTGTACTTCAGTGGACAGCCCCTGGAGACAGTTTTTTCAATGTATCTATTTTTAACTACTACTAACCTACTCAAGAATCCCTAGCATGTGAGGTTTGTCGGCATTAGCTGGACAATTCATTAGATATAGTCTCTGTCTGTCTGCACAGACACTTCCTTTATATGCAGGATAATCTTGTTTCATCATGAACTGTCTGAAATGAGAGTGTGCTGGTATGATAAATTGCCAGCATTCTACAATTATTACCACGGCACTCCAAAAGTTCTGTGTTACATGGCAAAGTTCACATCACATTACATAAGTTACAGTAACCATGTAGAATTTCTACACAAGTTTATGGCTATTATGCTGTAACTTTATTTTAACAGTTTACCCTACATATTTCTGAATATGGTATGAAAATTGCCACTCTTATTAAGATTATACATAGTGACTACGCATCTTTATTCTATCCATCAGGATGTACAGTTTGGTTTAATGTATTTATAAACCTACTGGTTTCACTGTCAGACAACATACGTAAAACTTTTCAGTTATCAGAACACTGCATAAAAACAAACCAAGTCACAAGCATTAGAGTACAGCAGTTACAATGGAGATTTGTTTAAATTACATTGGAAAAATAGATAATTTTGACTAAACTATGTATGAACTCATGGACTCTACTTTTGATCAAATTGAGACATAGCACCAAAGAGGGTCTCCATGCCTCTATCTGTGCAGGCATTCCTTTGGTAAGGGCCTGGGCCAAAATCAATGGAAAGACTCCCATTGACTCCAAAGGCTTTTGGGGATCATGCCCTATAATCATATCAGTCCTCAGTGAGCACTAATTTTGTCAGCACAATGCCCTGCTTGCAAACTCAGAATAAGGACACTTAGAGCACAAATAGCAAATGTAGCTCAATAGAAACACAGGCCTGCAGCAATGATCTTCCTCTGGAATGTTCTTTCCTGGAATAAAATGACAGTCCTATTGGCACAGCTTGTAAGATCTGTTGGCAAAATGATCTGCAAATTTTATTCAAAATAAAATACTTATGATCCACAGTTATTATAATATTCACCCTAATAACAGCTCGCTGAACATGCATAAATACTGCTAGACTCTCTGTTTCCTGCTATGGTTACTTACTTTCCAAGTGACCCGAATGCTTTGTGAAGATACAGGCTCAAGCTGAACTTCCTGAGGTGGGCCATCAGGAGCTGGTGAGAGAGACAGAGAGGGAGACACATCCATCATAAGGCAGGTTCTTATAATGTGGCAGAAATAAACAAAATATACAGTGTTGATGCCAACACTGTGGCATAGAACAGAGGCTTTGGGTTGGTATGAAACCATTTAACAGCATATGAAGCATTGAAGGTATCACTTTACTCAAACAAAACCAAAAGGCTAAGGAGTCTCCACTAGCTGGTTGCGTGGTATTTGTGACAATGAAATGTTGTTTATTTCAAGATTTAGCAAGTTTGCAAATAAAACAGGAATGAGTCGCATGTGACTTTCTTTCAAAAGCCTTGTTTAGTGACATGCTCAAGATGCTTTTCTTTCCCTTTGAAGTCTTCTCTACTGATGTACTGAATGTGCTTTAAGCTGCTGTGAATGCACTGGCACTGAAAAGACAGCAGCACCCATTCAGAATTAGGGAACACAGCAACTCTTCAGCCAGCTTTGATCATTTCAACATGTAGCTTCTGATTAAAGTCGTTCTGTTAACTAAAGACTGAGCACGTTCAGTACAAAATTATTATTTTATGAAGTAAAAACTGCACGAATAGTTTTTCTGTGTCTAAATATATCAGTGTGGAAGCCATATAAAGAATATCCTGCCTGATTAAATGAACCCGGGACAGTTCCTGCTGGCTCAGTCAGAGGGAGTCTCTCTTATTATTTATATGCTGCCAACAGTATGTGTCATGCTTCACAAACAAGTGGGAAGACAAAGTTCTGGTCCTGAGAAACTTCTATCTAAGTTAGACAGTTACAATGCAATGATCGCTGATTGGAGGCAGTTAGTGTTGCAGTGGGGATTTGTAAAAGAAAGCTAACAAAACCAAGCCATTTTAACGGAAGGATTTGAAGGAAGAGACAGAGATATCTCAGAGTTCTAGTAGAAGATTTCTATATATATATGAGGTGGCATGAATAAAAAGTAAGAAATCACAAATTTAATAATATGAGAAAGGGCGCAAAGGAGACTAGGTTGTGAGAGGGAGAGCAGGAGGAAATGGATGTTGCAATGAAAGCAGTCTGAGGGGTAAACAGCAGCAAATGACTGCAGTGAAAGAAGTCCATTTGGCTTACATGGGTGAAATTCACGCCTGTATAGAGACCTAGCACAAGGCTTATGCTCCATTGAAGTCATGTACAAATCCTATTTTGTGGGATTTTGTTGGCCCTGTGCAATGGGGTGAATTTCACGCATGGTGAAGTGGAACCATTGCCTATAGCTCATGTGGGTCCTTAGTTTGAGGGCATGTCTACACTGCAATCAGACACCTGTGGTTGGCCCATGCCAGCTAACCCGGGCTTGTGGGGCTCAGGCTAAGGGACTGTTTAATTGTGGTGTAAATGTTTGGGTTGGGCTGAAGCCTGAGCTCTAGGACCCTCCCACCACGCAGAGTGCTAGAGCCCAGGATCCAGACTGAGCCTGAATGCTTACACAGCAATTAAACAGTCTCTGAGCCTGAGCCCCATGAGTCTAAGTCCGCTGGCATGGGCCAGCCGCAGATTTTTGTTGCGGTGTAGACGTACCCTAAGTTTCCTATGCAGTATCACACAGTAATGAAAACAGGGTAAGTACAACAGCAAGAGTGGGGTCTCTGCTAGTTCTTTAACTCAACTCTAGACTCTGACCACCAGTTTACAGACACAAATGTCATCACTGCAGATATATTATTCTGTAGTAGATATGTGCAAAACATTTGGCCCATAAAATGAGCTGCTAAAATCCTGGCTTTTCATTGGTGTCACAATATGGCAACCATAAATCCCCTTTATGTCCACAGTTTATTTCGTTCCTCCATGTGCAGAAACATATTCTCTGTCTCTGATGTGGAAGTTATTGCTGTGACATATTTATATAGGCTAAACCTTTGCTTGTCTGGTCTGAAGAATTCAGACTCACCACAGGAAGCTCGTGCAAGTAGGAAGGAAATCAGAGAGAAACACTGCAGCAAACATTAGCGGTTATGCCTTATTTTTTGTAAAGATTCTGGATTGCTTTGCTATGCTTGGGATAACACATCCTGCACCCAGTTCTGCTCTCACATTGGTTTCATACTAGTACTCCTGATTTACATCAATGTAAGTGAGAGCAGACTCAGGACCTTGCCTGGGAGACTGTGAAGGAGATAGTTGCAGTTGAATGGGTTGTGATAAAGAATGTGGTGAGTCCATGACAGAGTGAATGGTTGTATACTGGGTCAGTGGGTAGCTGGAGGGGGGATGAGATAGGTGTAAGGGAAAGTAGAGGGAGATTGGTCCTGCGTCTTGGCAGGGGGTTAGATTAGATGACCCTGGTGGTCCCTTCTCGCCCTATGGTTCTATGAGTCTAATGGTCATGACAGATGGTGTTATGGGCTGTGGGGTGCAATAGATGGCATAGTGGAGTTAGAGGTGAGGGGGACTATGACAGAGAGTGTAGAGGAAGGTGAATGGTGGAGGCAGATTGTGGGTGAGTTTGTGATGGAGAAGCCATGACAGGGGATATGGTGGGAGGGAGCAAGCTGTGACAGAGGGTATAGCAGAGTGTGTTTGTGTGAGGGCATTGGGCTAGGGGAGAGGATGGTGACACAGGGCATAGAGAGGAGAGAAGGGAGTGTGCTGTGACAAAGTGTGTGGTAAGGAGGCTGTGACAGAGGTTGTGGTGGAGTGAAATTAGTGTCTGCCAATTTCACTGTACACATTCACCACAGCTTACATGATTATGAAGAGTTGCTAGGAATCTAACTACTACCCTGAAGGCAATGAGGTGAATTTCCAGTATGGTTTCCAGGAATTAATTTGGGACCAATAGGTGATTTTTTGCAAAAACTCCATCCAAAATGTGCAAGGTTATGTTAACCTCTTAGGGCAGGGGTGGGCAACCTGTGTCCTGTGGGCCACACACGGCCAGTCAGGGTAATCCGCTGGTGGGCTGCGAGACAGTTTGTTTACATTGACCTTCCGCAGGCATGGCCACCCACAGCTCCCAGTGGCTGCGATTCACCGTTCCTGGCCAATGGGAGCTGCGGGAAGCAGTGCAGGCCACAGGGTTGTGCTGGCCACCACAATGCAATTAAAAACCCATGGCTGGGTCATGCCATTTGACTTTGGTTTGCAGGGCTCAGGCTGTGGGGCTGTTTCATTGCAGTGTAGACTTCTGGACTTAGGCTGAAGCCTGGGCAATAGTACCCTGTGAGGTGGGAGGGTCCCAGGGCTCAGGCTGCAGCCCAAGCCTGGAATGTCTATATCACAATTAAGCAGCCCCACAGTCCGAGCCCCGTGAGCCGCAGATTTTTAATTGCAGTAAGTCTGCACTGCAGCTGGGAGCGAACCTCCCAGCCCAGGCAGACAGACTCACGCCTGTGGGGCTCAAGCTAGCATGCTAAAAATAGCAGTATGGACATTGCAGCTTGGGTGGCTGGTTCAGGCTCTGAAGCCCGTCCAACACCTCTGGTTCTGAGCTTGAGTAGCTAGCCCATGTCTCTGCCAGAACCACAATATCCACACTGCTATTTTAGCATGCCAACTTGAGCCATGCTAGCGCAAGTCTGTGTACCTGGGTTGTTCCTAACTGCAGTGTAGTCATAGCCTTAGACACATACACTAAATCCACTGAGCCTTTGATAACTGTTTGCACGTGGGAGCCAACTTTCCTGCAACCTTGCTTGCTCTAGCATGCCATACATTTCTCTAGGGCTTTCCATCTAAGCATCTCTAAAGGATTTACAGACATGACAGATTTAAGCCTCACAACATCACTGTGAGGCAGGTAAATGTTTTATCCCCATTGTACACACGAGGAGACTGAGTCACAGAGAAGATAAATGAGCATTTTAAGGTCACTCAGAGTCTGTGACAAAGCCAGAAAGAGAACCCCGATATCTCAGCTTGCACTGTTAAACTTTAACAATACACAGAAACAAAGAAAAACCAGCCCTCTGCTTTCCTGTCAAACACTGAAGGAAATGAGCTCTCCCAGTCTATTTTTCAAAGCAATAGCTATTAAAGGTTATAGGGGGAAAAGCTCCAATAGCCCTGAAATCAGCTCCAGATTAGTGAAAGGACAGAAAATATTGCTTGACTCTCCTCCTGCTGAAGGCATCCTTTTCAGTTTACTGTCTAATAAATAATGCCGGCAGCCTGGAGTCACACTAGTGTAGGATATGTAATCTGTACCTTTGCAGTGAAGGGGTTTGGATTTTTAAATGTTTAATGTTGTTTTTCTTAAGCCTTCATTTTGATCTCTTCCCTTAGGTGTCTCCCTCCTGCTCAGCACCCTGTGCTAATTTAACCCTCCTGATGTAAGAGCAGCAAACAGTAAACAATGACAAATGACTGCACTTCTGCATACTGTGCGACTGATCAAACCAAAACCAAGACAACAAATGCTGTTGCCTTGCCTAGACCTGACCTTCCCTCTGCTGATTGCTCCCTGAATAAATCAATGACTTTTGACTGCGGTTCCACATAACTGACCTTTCACTCTGACTGGACAGCTCCTTAATGAGAGCAGTGAAAGTCCCAGTCATCCTGAAACTAGGTCAGGAGGCATTGGATAAAATGTGACATCCAGGTTTCAGCCTAATGGGGAAGCTAGTCTTTAATGGGAGGTCAGTTGCTGATGCTGACATATTAATTATCAGACAAAAGAAAGTCAGTAAGTAAGGAACACTCCAAGTTTATTAACAGCACATACTAATAACTTGTGTGAGTATATGAGAAACACAATTTCTTTAGGAGATTTTGGAGAGGGGAGAGTGGAAGGTGGAGGTATTCCGGGCTCTGGGGATGGGTAATCTGTTTCTCTAAAGATTTCATATTTCACCTTGCAAACAGGAAAAACATTTCTGCATTCAGCATGTAGTTTAAAAGCAAACAAATTACTCATCCTTTCCTTGATATATAGTAAAGAAATCTGCCCCACCACTGAAGAATCATATAAAATTAAAACCCATAATGCAGAGTTCTGTTCATTCTCTCTTCCTTTTCTAACACAGACATTATTTGTGGGTCCAATATATATGCTGAAAAAGGGCATCAAGGGTAAAAATGAATGCAGCTCATGTTGTCTCCTGTTTGCTTCCGTTTGCACAGTAAGCCCTTGTGCTCTTATTCTTTGTCACAAATCCTTGAGAACTGAGAATCTGATCTCACAGCAAGGGGTAAATTTTCACTGCGGTGATTTTGTCTTCTATTAATATTAATAAGATTTGCACAGCCAAATTCTCATGTGTGGGCTGAAAACCATGCCACTGAGTGTCTAGAACCCAGATCATCATGTAGCTTTAGAATGCGGTGGGCCTTTATCTGACACACTCCACCCCCAACCACTTACATTATTATTTTACCTCTCAACAGTACATAGATTCATAAATTCCAAGGCCAGAAGGGACCATGGTGATCATAGGCTGACCTCCTGTAAAACACAAGGCCCTACGGCGTCCCGAAAATAACTCCTAGCACATATCTTTTAGGGGGAAAAAAACCCCAAGCAGGGAGGTATTAGCATGTTAGCATAGAAAACAAATATGCACGGTGCAGGTATTCTTTACAAACAAGAAATGGCAGATTCTTGTATGGCCTAGAGTTTTCAAAGGAACCTAAGGGATATAGGAATTTCAGTGATGTTTGTATGTTGAATTTTCTTAGGCTCCTTTGGGAATCCCAGCTGTGATTTCTATTCATTTAATTGCAATATGTAACTTTGATAGGAGATATTTGCAGACATTCAACATTATGACGTATAATTCAAGGGAGAAAACGATACGGCATTGGCTTCAGAAAGAGGGAGGCGTCAGAGCAAAGGAGAGCAATAAAGGATAACTTCTTTCACTTCAGCAAGTGAGATACATAGAGACTTGAATGCAAAGAAGCCACTGCATACCGCAATTACAGGCTCAAAAGGGGCTATCCCGGGCATTAAGGGGAAGGTGTTGGCAGGGTACTCTTGCCAGAACAGAGAGACAGTGGCGCTGGTATGACTGCTCTGTGAAAAATCAGTCACTTGCCCTCCTGGCTGGAGAGGAAGTGCTGCAATGACCAATGCCATCTGTGGTGGAGGACAGCATTAAATTAAATTCAAGGAAACAATATTAATTAATTACAGCAAACTAACTTTAATTGCAGTCAGGACATTAAATGGGTGGAGAATAGCTCAATAATAACATTTTTCATGTAAATGAACATTTTCAATCTTGGGAATCTTAAGTTAGGCACCTAAATCCATAATTGGGTGCTTAAATAGGGATTTAAATGCATAGCTTCAAGTCCCCAAGGTTGAAAATGTGGGGCATAATGTCTTCTTTGACTACTAGATGCCACTGAACAGTTTTAATGACAGGCCTGCACAATGACGTTTCTGAAGTAATGCTTTCTTGGAATATTTTAGCATCCTGTGTGAGATAGTTGTAGTAGCGTAGCTGGCATTTCAAACAGAAATTTCTAGTAAGGAAGAAAATTTGAGCTCAGGTAAGATTTAGACCAGCGGTTCTCAAACAGGGGGCTGCAGCCCCCTAGGGGTACACGAGACCTTTCAGGGGTCCACAGGGCCCCCCCGGCTGGAACCTGGTGAACCAAGCCCTGTCACGACACCCCCCCCCCAAAGCGGGCAGCTGTGCAGCGCGGAGCTGACGCCAGCAGCGGCGCGGGGCAGAAGCTGGGAGCCCTGGTGCCCCCTGGTCTGAAGCCGGCAGTGGCATGGGGCTGAAACCGGAAGCCCCTCCCCTCCCCCCTGCTGAAGCCGGGAGTGGTGCAGGGCTGAAGCCAGGAGGCCCGGCATCCCCCCGGTCTAAAGCTGGGAGCAGTGTAGGGCTGAAGCCAGGAGCCCTGGTGCCATCCCCAAGGGCTGAAGCCAGCAGCAGCATGGGGCAGAAGGTGGGAGCCCCAGTGCCCCCCAGGTCTGAAGCTGGGAGCAGTGCAGGGCTGAAGACGGGAGCCCTGGTGCCACCCCTCCCCCCTGCTGAAGCTGGGAGCGGTGGTGGAGCCCTGGTGCCCCCACCCCCATCTGAAGCCAGCAGAGGTGTGGGGCTGAAGCCAGGAACCCCAGTGCTGCCCTCACCCCGGGGCTGAAGTTGGGAGCAGCACAGGGATGAAGCCCTCCCTGCAGGAAGAAGCCCTGAGCCTATGGGCAGAATTGGGGAGGCACAAGGGTGTTGCTTCCCCAAACTGCAGTGCCTTACACAGAGTGGGGACATCCTGGGGGCAGCCCTAGCTACCCCTCTCCCTGCACCCTGAGCTACCCCCTGTCCACACATAGCCCCTAGCTACCCCCTCCCTGCACCCTGAGTGGTTTTCAAACTTCTTGACTTGAATCCCCGCTTTGAGTTATATTTTTTGGTTGCATCCCCCGTGGGTGGCCTGCTGAGGTGAGTCAGGGAGTGGAAGTGGCACTCCCTCCCTGGACCGCATTGTGTGGAGCTGGCCCAAGCCCCGCCGGCCCTTGCCTACCACCAAATAAAAGTCAAACTACGCCTATGCCCAAGGCCCCCTCTCCTCTGCCCCCCTCTCCCCCCACCAGCCTGGAGCTCTGAGTCCCCCCTCGCCCCGCTGGGCCCTGGAGTTTTTATAGCATGTTGAGGGGGGCCTCAGAGAGAAAAAGTTTGAGAACCCCTGATTTAGACAATACAAAGCCAGAACGTACCTGCTTCATCCGTAGTGATAGTGAGCTCATTGCTTGCTTCGCTCTTGCCAATGCGGTTTTTGGCATACATGCGGATGTTGTAGGTGGAGGAAGGGTGGAGGTCAATGATAGTGGCCTGGTTCAGCTGAGGAGAGACGTCTTTGGTTCGCTGAACAGAATCCCAGGAGTCTATTTAATAAATGGGGGGAGAGAAAAAACTAAAGAAAATTTCGCATTCATTTTGTTATTTCAAATATTTAAGTAATTCAACCTTATAAGAGAAGACCTCCTGTTTTCAGCATCAGCACTGGGAACATTTTGCTAATACAACCTAAATGGAATATCATGTTTCTCTTCAGTACTCCTTCTCACTGATCAAAGCTCTTAAAGAAAGAATTCTCAACCTGCGGTGCATGAACAGGTCCAAAGGGCTTGCTACAACCCTCTTTTTTATAGTGAAATGAGAGTGAGGGGGTCCCCCGTTTTGTTTTGTTTTTTGTTATGTGGGAAAAGGATGATATCCGCTGTCCTAAAGGAATTCCATTCAGTGCTCCTCAGAGGGAAGGTTGGTTACTGTGACAAAGAGCCTTGAAAGGAAGTTGTTCGACAGGAATGAAAAGGGGGACAGGAAGGATTCTTAAAGATGCAAAGGATCATTTAGAAAGATAAAAATGTTTTATATTTTAAATTCTTAAGGGCTTGCTCCTGCAAGCTTATTCAATTAACTATGCAGATAATTAAGCCTGAGCTTAAGTGGGATTGGGGCCAGAGTATTTGGCACCTTTCAGTATCGAGTACTAAGCCATTGAGATGTTTTCAGGTTAACGATGCAGATCCAAATTCAATGAGATTTAACATCGGTGCAGTCATTAATCCCATGAGTTGTTTGTATGTGCTTGTAAAAGGAGGAATTTTATCCAGATTAAATCAATATCTAAGGAAACCTGGGGTTATCCAAATTTAGCATAAATTATTCAATAAACTTGCTTGACACATGGTATTAGAAAGGACAGAATTTGGTTACATATAGTAACCACTCGGCCTCAACGTAACATTGAATCAGTCCAAATAAAACAATGGGACTGATCTGTTTTAAATCATCTTGACATCTCTTATGTGTTGTCATCTGTCATTTCTTTCTCACTGTATTGCATATTCCTCCTTTAACCTCTGTAATATCCTATGGGATTTAGCTGGGAGCTATACAGTGGTGTTGTATAGCGAGGGTCACTGCAGGCAGCATCATGAAAAGCTCACCAGACAGAAAAGTCTTGGTTAAAAATAGGAAAGCATAGCAGGAAACAATATACCGTGTCCAGTTTTTGAGGCAGTGTGTAATTCTCTCTCTCTCTCTGTGGCGTCCCTTAGAGATGGGCAAATTGTTTACATACTAAATAATTTTGTTAGTTGCAGAACAATTTCATTCTTCATCTGTCTGTTTGTATTTAAAAACGTCCAAACATTTAGCTATCAACTGATGCTCATTTAAAAACTCCTAAACATGTAGGTATCAATTGATGCAGTGCTAATCAACTGCATCTGAATTAATTTACTACTCGTCACTGCTGCCTTTGCAGTGGTGCTCCCAGAATGCCTAAAGGCCTTCTCTGCACATAGCCTCGATAATATTTGCTTGGAATACTCTTTGTACACTTTATGGACATTTTTAAATGGTGCTCTTGAGCAAAAACTGACACTGTCCTGATGTGTCTTGGAAGACTGTTAACATTTGAATTAATGACAGTAGCCATCACCCTTCAAAACGCTGCAATTTGGGGATTGCCATACCAGAATAAACCAATTGTTCATTTAGTCCAGTATTCTGTATATGAGACTGGTTGATGCCTAATACTTCAGAAGAAAGAATTAAGCCATCATACTATACGAAATGGGGAATCATTCAGTGATGAACAAACCTCAAAATGTTTAAAGTTCATAAAAACATCCAGAAATGGGAGACTCTCTTCTAGGTATACAGCTGGCAAAACATACTCCTATGCCAGCCTCCCTGCAGCCATTGTCACTCGAGGGCAAGAAGGAAGCATAGCTGGAATACACTGCATTCTGGCTCTCTTTCGCTGTCATATGGTCCTTCGGGAACTATTGCCAGCTGATACATTTAAGAGCAGCCATTGGGCTATACTAATCTGCTCTAGGGCTGGGCAAAGTATAGGGAGCTGCAACTGGCTCCCTGATGATCCCACAACTCAGATGTACTCCACAGAATCTCAGGGCAGCAGAGAATCTGGCCGGTAATATTTAGCAATGGTGGTTGTTGTTAGAATAGTGCATAGGGACCTCAGCCAAGATATGTGCCCCATTGTGCTTAGCGTTGTAGAAACATAAAGAAAGACTCTGTCCCAGTTTATATCATGTCAACAGTTCTGGACTAAAAAGATCCAGTCTGTATGGAGGGTTAAGTAAACTTCCTTTGTGGTAGATGATAATTTTGCTTTGAATATTTTACAAAACTGATTAAGATTTTTAAAAAGATTTCCTTCAATGTTAGAGGGTTTTTTTAACTATTAAGTTAATCAAATCAGAGTATCCAGCCTGGAAAAACCCCTAGGTTCTTTATAGATTAAATAATGACGTACCAAGATAAGGGAGGAGATGGAAAACCAGAATCTTGAAGACTTCTAGATATATTTTGTTCCAGAATGATAGAGTGTAGGTAATACATGGATTTTAGAGTATATTTTTATATGAATTTCTGAGGGAAAAATAAGAAAAGCTTGAGACACATAGTCAAGAAAGAAATTGTTTAATTTCTCTCCAATGTTGTCGCCAGCTGACGCAACAAAAAATAAATGGTGATTTAAATTCTGCTGCTAAATGATAGAAATAAAATGATTGTTCCTGTGTAGGCAGTAAAATAATCATCCAGTGGGGTACTGTGATTGATTTATGGCTCTTTTGTTTTCTGCTACCATACTAAAGCATTTTAAAATCGATGTATTTAATAGGGTTTCAACTTAGAAATAACATACAGAACAGGTAAGAACCATACATAAATGAAGCAAAAAGAAAACATAAAATTTCAGTTCATTTTTCCCCCTCAAAGAGATTTTTTTTTTAAATCAGGCAATTCTCAGTGCTGTATAAAATGAACATAAACAGAAAGCGTTTATGAAAATCCATAGCTCTGTGTTGTATTTTTCACTAATTCCTAAGCTACTGATTGACCCATAGAGGTCCATTTACAGACTCTAGCTTGGCTAAATACACCTCTACCCCGATATAATGCTGTCCACGGGAGCCAAAAAATCTTACCGCATTATAGGTGAAACCGCGTTATATCGAACTTGCTTTGATCCGCCAGAGTGCGCAGCCACGCCCCCCCTGGAGGGCTGCTTTACCGCGTTATATCCGAATTCACGTTATATCGGGTCGCGTTATATTGGGGTAGAGGTGTATGTTTTATATTGTACTTTACTTCTGATTTGGGAGAAAGATCGTATATATAATATTTTAGCCAGTGTTGTGAATTTCTATTTTTTGTGTGAGGTGCCATCTAGTGATACTGTTTAAAACTGCACACATTTGTGGCACACTGCTAAAAGCTGTATGATTTCTTGAAGCTATTCTTGTCAGGCTGCAGATAAAGACCTTGATTCTGCAAATCCATGCACAGCATGAAGCAAGGAATGCAGAGCTGTTGTGCTTAAATGCAAGTGTGAGCTGAGTCTATGTATGGGCATGAGGAAGGCTAAGCACTAGGCATAATCCTCCCTTTGTGCACCTTGCTCTCTAACATTCAAGGATGCAGTGTCAAAAATAGGCAGGGTATGGACAAAGAATGGACATGTTTGAGAAGACATAAGATCAAGCATGAGGAGACACCTGGTTACATCGTGTCTCCTACCCCTTGTCCCTTCTCCTGCTAGAAGGCTGGAGTAATTTGGTCACCAGACAGCAGTAATTTCACTGCAAAGTTAGGTTCCTGGGCCATAGATGGATTAAGACACAGATAGGCACTATCAGCCCAAGCCTGGAATCTTAGTTCCTGAAGCCATGTGATAATATCAAAATCTCAACTTTTATTTTAAAAAAAGTTTCTGGCCCACCTGGTTGTAAAGAAAAGCTTGAAAATTGGACATATAAAGGATGCAAAAAATGTCTACCTAAGTCTGAAGGGAAAGAGACAACAGCTCAGAGAGGGGTGAATTACCCCATTCATCTCAATGAGGTGTTAATTCCAACACCAACTCCTCTGGAGAGCCCTGCAACCCCTCCCCACCCTTTGTCCTGGAGGACTGTGTGTGTGGAAGGAGGATAAGAGTCCCACCGATCCAACAGTGACACCCCAGTTGTTGGAATAAGTATGGGAAGCCCCCCTTGATGCCATCACTGAAGAGAGGGTGTGGGCCCTGCTTCCATTCCTGGTGGAGAGATGGGAGCCTCATGATGCCTATAAAATCATGAATATTGTGGAGAAAGTGAATAGGGAAGTGTTATTTACCCCTTCACATAACACAAAAACCATTGGGGGTCACTCAGTGAAATTAATAGGCAGCGGGTTTAACACAAATATAAGGAAGTACTTCTTCACACAAAACACGGTCAACCTGTGGAACTCATTGCCGGGGATGTTGTAAAGGCCAAAAGTATAACTGGCTTTAAAAAAAGAATTAGACCAGTTCATGGAAGATAGGTCCATCAGTGCCTATTAGCCAAGATGATCAGGGATGCAACCCTATGCGCTCTGTGTCCCTAAACCTTTGACTGCCAGAAGCTGGGACTGGATGACAGGGGGTGAATCACTCAATATTTGTCCTATTCTGTTCATTTCCTCAGAAGCATCTGGCACCTGCCACTGTCGGAAACCAAGATACTGGGCTAGATGGATCATTGGTCTGACCCAGTACAGCCGTTCTTATGTTGCCCTGCCTTTCTGTGACAGGAGAGGGGCCCACTGCCATTTCAAATGGGGAAAGGGCCATGGTACATGGGTGGGGCCATGAGAGCTCCCATGTTATGATGCGCCTAAACCAGAGATTGCCTTTATATGGTCCTAGGTTGCCCTGTGCTCCCCAGACTTGCTCATCACACTTTACCTTATAACACAACATTCAGCACCTGCATTGTACAGGATCAAGCCTACAGTAAAAACATCATGGTGAGAGTGAAAAGGGCTAATGACAATGTTATGCAGTGTGATTGGGCAATAATTTCAAAAATAGATTACTAAACACCGCATGCCATTTTAATCTGCAGAATGCTTCTTTCCCATGCTGCTCCTGAATGGGCCCCTCATATCCTCCTCTGCCTTTGCTACAGTTCATTCATTCATGTAAAAGGCCTTTGACTCATGTTCTCATGGAAGTCATGGAAACTGAATATTCTTATCTTCTGTGATTTCCCATGTTTAACTACTTATCAGTACTCTTTTAAAATTGCAGGAGCTTCAGAGCTACAAATGCTTCTTACTTGGGCAGCGGTAGGTTTGGGTGATAGAAGATGAGCTCAGGATGTTTGTCAAAGGTTTGTGGCCATTTCTGTCATTCTGGAAGTGGCAGTAAATCTGGTTGCTTTCTGAGAACAATTACAAGTGGTTTACTCAAGAGTTGGAATGAAGTTTCACTGGAGGGTGTTAACGTGGGTTTGGTATCAGAGAAAGGGAGATGACATTGGGTCACTGTTTAGGAACGGTTGTGAAAGACTTGCTGGTTGGATTGGGGGTTTGCTGGACCTATGACTTTAGCCTTTTTTCGCCAGTGACTTGTCCATGAAATTTTTAAATATTCACCTAAGGCTTACTGTAGGTAGAGCTTTGTTCATTAACTGATATTTCTAGGCTGACACACATTTTAAGACTTGCAAATAAGACACTCAAGTATAATATAATTAGAAAAAACAATGGTACACATGTTCATGTTGGGTGTAATGTGTATGGCCATAAAGCCATAGCTCGGAGAGTAGTGTTCTGAGGTCTTTTCATGAATTCTCACTTTAAGCAGTAGTTCCAGAATAGGTGGGAAAAGAATCACCTCTTCTGGTTTCTAGTCACCACTCTGACCGCTATACAATCACTAGGACCCAGGTACCTAAGTAGTCAGTTGGCATATCCATCAGTAACCTGCAGTGTTATTTCTTAAGTATCTAATTCTCTTTAAACATAACTATGCTGGTTATTTTCACTTGTATTCTTGGTAGGGTATTACAGATGCTTATCATCTGCTGTGTGAATGTTTTGCCTAAATTATCTTCTAGCCTGTTATTTCCTTCTTTCGTCTGTGTACACCAAGCACTGGGTTTAATATTAGTTCAAGGATCTTATCTTCCTAAGATCACTGTCTCTCTTAACATCTGAAAAAATGCAGCGATAACCCCTCTTGACTCTCTTTTTCTTCAGCATTGCTTTCCCCAGCCATTCTGCATAAGTTAACTTTACCAGTGCTTTCGTATTTTTTGTTGCCTTTCTATCTTCCAAAAATTGGGCACAGTAGTTCAGTGAAAATGACCACTATACAGATTTTAAAGTTTTGTCTTATACACCAGTTCCTCCAGACCATTCCTTTTTTCTTTCCAGACTCAAACTTTTATTAGTATAATGTGCCCTAGTTACATAACCACTTTTTAAACTACTATGCTATCCTTGCTACTGGTTTATCATGTGGTATTGTTCAGATGCAGTTTTGAAATCCAAGTACATTGTGTTCACTACTTCCCCCTTGCATGCACTCTGTATTATCACCTGAAAAGATTCCACCAGATTTAGTAGAGAAGATATAGACCCTGATTCCGGGCTGCAATCTTGCCCCTTTACATCACTCCTCCAGCCTAGCAGGAGAGGAAAGCAGTTGGATGGCTCCAGGCAGGAAGTCTCCAGGTGCAGGGGATTCCCTGAGCAGTGTAGGGGTAGGCTCAGAGTTGTAGGAGGGTGCGTCAGGGAGGGATGGCATTCTAAACTCCACTTCTTTTGGGTTGGTGGAGTGGATTACAGGTGGATAGGGAAAGCCAGACCCAGAAACATGGAAGTGCACACATAACTTAAAGTCATATCACCTGCTAAACTGCACATCCTGGGCTGTGCTTCCAGGGATGATAGACTGAGAATCTGGCCCATAATCTTTAGGGAACCATACTCACTGGTATAATTTCAATTTTTAAATAATCTCATTTCTCCTTAAAAAAACAAACAAATAAAAAACCCTGACTTATGAGAAGTTTATTCTACCAAGTGTGATGTTTGCTTCTATTTTGCGGCACAGCATCCCCCTAACTCCCACTTCCTAATCTAGCAATAGTAATATTATATGCTATTTTTGCATATCAAAGACCGTGCACAGGTAGGATTGCTACCTCTGTGCTACACAAACGGGGATGTCCAGGATGATCCTGAACCCATAAAACTGAACAGCTGGTATTGTGTACTGAGCACCCTTACAGACTTCCTGGGACAGCCACCTCAAAAAAAGAAACAATTCAGGGAAAACCTGGACAGTGGCAACCCTATGCACAGGAAAAATACAATACAGACGAATCAAATGCAAAATATTAAAGACATATAGTGGAATATAATTTGTACAATTAGTTATCAGTTTCAAAAAGTTAAAAATATAATGTTTTACAAATACTCTCTCATTATTAATTTCATCAGCAATATGTTTGCACGGATAACCATATATATTCAAATCAGTTAGACTATGTCCACAGATTATCTCCATAGACAGAGTACAACACATACCAAGATGAGAAGCAACACAAAACAAACAAAGAAATTCAATATCCCTTTAAAATATCTTTTAAAGCTTACTTATCAATAAGGTGAATCTTATTCATCTATAATTTTCTGCTTCCTTCCTAGTCCTTTCTTGGGCCGTGATATACAAGAGTATTTAAACATAGGCTTAAATTTTAAGCATAACCTTAACTTGTATGGACTTCAATGGAACGTGAACATGTGCTTAAAGACAAACCTGTTTTCAAATTCTTTCCTGATTAGGGATGATTTCCTGAACCAGGAGTTATGTTTATTTTCTTCCAGTTCTTCAAGTTCTCACCATTCTCCAATGACCCTTTCAGCTTTGCTCCATAATCCTTTATCTTTTTTGCATTTTCTATACCTATTTTCCTTCCCCCTGCCCCCGACAATTTGAAAGACTTTATTTGTGAGTGTGTAATGTCTTACAAATTTGTATATAAAATGTTTGTGAAACAGATGGACTCACATCTTTCATCTACACTAAATTAACCACAGTAGCATAACATACAGCAACAACATATTATATGTGAGAAAGCATAAATGAAAGTGATGTCATGACCTTACCGGTAACGCTTTCTGCCAACTGTCCAAACACAGTTGAAACTCAAGCCAACATGCACCTTTTATGTTACAGAGCAAATGAAGTTCAGCCCAGAGGCAGAGCTATGATATTTAATCCAAAAGTTCATATATTTAACAGTTTAAAATGTCACTGTGTCTCTGTATTTTCCCTTTAAGAATATGAATTAGCACACCTGTAGTGATACAGACAGATGGGTCAGCTTTACTTATGAGCTGCATGTTGATATGGCTGAATGCTGACCTAGCAGAAATATATCTGCTTACGTTGTACTGCAGATATGTTCCACTAGCCTGTCCCTTGCAGCATTTCAGAGGTTACTGCAAACTCAGGTTGGTGGCTCAGCAAGCTACTATACAGCTTGCTTTGTCTATCCTAGTACACTCCTAAGACGGCAGTTTGGCTCCTAACCCTGCTGTTCAGGTGAAACGTCACACAACCCTACGTACAACAGAAGAGAATTTCTGTAGCTCGTCACTCCAGATAAAAGGTCACTGTTGAGAGAAATTACCCCCCTGGGAAAAATGGGCAGTGGGGGGGGAAAAAAACAGAAGGAGGTAAAGGTAATAATAATGGCCTAGTACCATTCAGCATCCATTGTGGCAGTCACAAGGTGGAATAGCTAAGGCTATATCAGGAAATCTGTGCATATCCCAATAAAAAAAGGGAAGAGCAACAATCCAAATATAAACAAAATGGTCATAATACAAGAAATCAAAAACAGTGAAATGGCAAAAGACAAAGTCCACTGTAGAAAAATAAACAGACTGTGGAGGAAGAATTTCCATCAAGATGTTTTGATTTCTGATTCACTGTTTACAGTACAAACAAAATAATGAAGGAATAAAAACAAGTTATGAGAAATGGATCACTTGCAAATGAAGACTCTCTCTTACCAGACTTGTTCTTGCATTCAATATCGTAGCCTGTGATCGGGCTATTTCCATCAAATCCCATGGTCCATCTGAGGGCAATGCTGCGTGCTCTCACCTCTCGGATTTCTATTTCAGGAGGATCTGGTGGCTCTGAGTTAACAGACAGACCCTGCTTTAGTCAAAAGAGTGCTGGTACTAAGCATAAGCTATAATAATGAGCATGGCTCTAATGTGGTCTGTTAACAGGATGATCTCATGCCATTTTCTCTGCTCCCTCATTAATATCTATACTCATTTAACCACCCATTGAAGAACATTCTGTGGAGGAAGGAAAAGTCACTTTTCAAAATAAGAGTGACTGAATTTGTCTTGGATTACTAACTAATGGTAGACCGGCATAGATACAACATATTGTAGTATTGCTTAAATTCTACTCCCATTTGCAGTATTCATGCCAGGGGAGGTTCTGGCTATAACTGTCACACTGCATTGGTACTTCTACATTTTGAATGTATGTGATGGTATATACATAAAGACAGTACTTTTAGGGCTAAACTATCGGTGGTTGGGGGGAATAAGAATCCCAACCCTTTGAATATAAATTCATAAAAGAAGGGTTCAAAACTGAGGGCCTGATTCTCATTTACACTAAGCCCACTTTATGCTGTTACACAATGTGGCATATATATATATATATATATATATATATATGTATAGCTTATGCCCACTTTAAGATCCCTTTACATTGCCAGAGCAGTATAAAGGACCCTTAGGGCAAATGAGAATCTGGCTCCCAGTTTCCTCCTGAATTTCTTGACAGGGCTGGTTCAGACATGCTGTGGAACCTGTAGTCACGGGGAACCAAGGGTTGGGAGAAAGATTTTTTGCAAGTATTAGAAATGTTATGCTCCAAGGCATAAAAGCACATGAGCCAGTGTCATGTGGCAAACCAGCAGTGGCCAGTGGCTGAGTTCTGCCTCTGCTCTGCATCTAAAATACCATCACCTTAAACCACTCCACAACCTGCTGCTGTCTGCCCGACTGAACTCCCCACAGGAGGGAGAACCCAGCCCCAAGCGATACAGGCTACTGGAGCCTGAATTGCACAAATATATTAAAATTTATTTTGACTGATTAAACTTGAAATATTTTGTTTCTAAATATATAGTAGGTTTAACATTTCTCCTGAAAAAACATCACATCAAATCGCTTTTGCTTTATTTCACCTGAGTTTAAACCATTTTTTGATTTAAAAAATAAATAAACCTCAAGTATACCATCCCTACAGTATATGTGCTGGATGGATTTTTATGTCTGACAAGTAGATTGTCAACTAGTGAATATAAGAAATACTCTCTTTACTCATCTGTACATTTCTACAAAGACTCTGGAATTTAAGCTTCATTGTGATTGATTCTATGGTGCTAGAAAACATGAGTTTAAGATTCTGATGCAACTTCTAATTTCTCTGACAATTAGGAATATGTTTAATTAGGGACTAGAACCTCCCCCCCAAAACAGATTTCTGAGCATGGCATACACTTACTGTACTACAATAGTTGTGTTTTTTTCCTTATGTTGTCCTCTTCCTACCTTGCACAGTGAGCTGAATTATTCCACGGTCCTCCCCATAAGAATTGATAGCGTGGCAGGAAAAGAAGCCAGAATCTTCACGCACAGTTGGCAAAATCTAGAGGTGGATTGAAAAGAAGCCATTGATTCAACAATATGTACAGAAAACAAATAAATGTAAGCATAAAATGATACAAACTGTTTCTCTTTGCAGTAGTACACAGATATTGTATGTGTGTGTGTACATGGAATATACAAACACACATGTAACTATGCAGAATAAATATTAATGGCATGAGTGTAAGGTCCAAAAAGCTGGTATCTATCAAGACTAGAGGCAAGAGCTAAATCTATTAGAAAGCTGGGCATCTCCCCTTTCCTGTGGTAGAACCCTTTTTTAGCTCTGTTGGGTTACATGAGGTCAGATCTTTAATTTTTCACTGATCCAGGGCTCAATACTCCCTATTCTGCACCTAAGATCACTTTAATATTTTACTTTGGAAGCATGAAAGACACTTTTCTTTGGCAGGTTGGTTTTTTTAAAAGGAGAATGGCAGATGTTTGAAGCAACTTAATATCTGGAAGTAATCCTCGTGGAGATGGATTTGTGGGCAGAGTGCAGGTGAAGTGGTCAAAAATGTATAATAAATGCAATTTAATGTACGGTGTCACAAATTATTGCAGGAAACTCTGGATATAAGCACCATAGTAATGATATCTATACATTATATATATATACGTACATATTTTATAGGTGGAGCTGGTAGAGCCAGCTATTATTAAGCTTGCCTAACATTTCCCATTATAAGATCCTGTTGCTTATAACTTTGCCAGACTTTAATAATTTGGGCTGAGATTTTTTTTATACCAGGTGTCTGCCTCAGGCTACTGTTTTTTTTTTTTTTTAATTTCAGTCACAATGGTCAATCCCCATGCTTTGGAACAGGGACCTGGAATTTGGCAGGGGAGTGACTGTGTCACAGATGTGCCTTTTTTTCATCCCCTTGAAAATCCACCCAAATGTAGCCAAGTTATAAGACTTTGAAAAATCCCAGTTTGTAAATGCACAATAGAGAGCTCTGACTTCAGCAGCTAAAATCTCCACAGACTGCCTCCTAACTGAGCATGTTCAAACCTCTCCCAGCTCGAAGTGCTGACTAGACTGCTCATGCATCGTCCACTCACAGATCCTACATGTGACAGAACTGCACATGAGCCGTCCACACAAATTTACTGAGCGTGCTGCATCCTCTCTCTTCTCCTAGAGCTGACCAGATTCTGCATGAGCCATACCCACAGAGTGGCTGAGCGTGCACCTTCCAGCCCAGGGCTACATCATAGAAGCTGGAGTTTCCCTGTAATGGCTGCTCCCAGCTGCTCCAGGCCAGCATGGGGCCAAGCAAAGGAACGGAGAGAAAGGAACCTGTCTCTCCTGTGCTCTCAATAACTCCCCTGCTGGTGATCCAGGCAGTGTGGAGAAGGCAACTGTCTGATTCTAACATAGAGAGGGCAGGGAACTGTGGGAAGTGAAAGGATGGTCTCATGGTTAAAGCAGCTGAATGCTGCCCTGGAGAACTGGATTCTATCCCTGCCACTGTCCCAGAGTTCTTATGTAATACTCAGGGCTGCCCGGGGTGGGGTAGTTTGCCCCAGGCCCTGCAGGGGCCCCCATGAGAATATAGTATTGCAACTTTTTTTATGGAAGGGGCCCCCAAAATTGCTTTGCCCCAGGCCCTTGAATCCTCTGGGCGGCCCTGGTAATACTTGGCAAATCACTTAAACCAGACTTTTCACAGATGGTCTCTAATTGTGTTTTTCTCATTTCCTGGGTGCCTGATTTGAGACCCTTGGATCTGATTTGCAGAAGTCCTGAACACTCATAGCTGCAACTGAAATCAATGGGAGCTGTGCTTTTAACATATAAAGTGCCTTATAATGCTACATACTCTGAAAAATCAAGTTGAAGGTGTCTTAAAATGGACACCCAAAATTAATGGAAACATTTGATCATAATCTCTCTGCGCCTCAGTTCCTCATCTGTAAAATGGGGATAATACCACCACTTGTGGGGGGAGGGATAGCTCAGTGGTTTCAGCATTAGCCTGCTAAACCCAGGATTGTGAGTTCAGTCCTTGAGGGGGCCATTTAGGGAACTGGGGTAAAAATCTGTCTGGGGATTGGTCCTACTTTAAGCAGGGGGGTTAGACTAGATGACCTCCTGAGGTCCTTTCCAACCCTGATAGTCTATGATTCACCTCACCTGGCTGTCTGTAAAGATAGATTAATTAATGTTTGAGAAGCACTCAGATAGTATAATTATGAGTGCCATAGAGAATCCTATGAGGAAATGAATAGTTTTTTATTCAGAACAGGGTTTGAATAGTGTGCAGTAAATACGGCCTGGGCCCCACACAGAACAATTAAAATAAAATATATATCTATATATTCAATAGCTGTTCATTAAGTGAGCACTGTCCATCCCATGCACAGAATAAGGCAGGGTTTCCTGTGGAAAAAACATTATGTGATCATGTAATTAAAGATTATGAGGGGGACAAATTAAGGTTGCACAGGCAACCTTAATTCTGACATTTCTTAACTTTTGAGAGCTTGACTTTGCAACCTGAATGTTCTTATAACTTTTTTTGTGCATTTATATCTATAGCTCTCTCTCTCTCTCTCTCTATATATATATATATCACTATCATATTATTTCATGAACAATTTGCTAACCAAGAAAGGGATTAATGCCCCAATCTTGCACACAGAAGTGCTATCATGTGCACCCAGATGGAATCACACTAAAATCATCAAGATGGTTGTGGGTGCAGGGACCCATGCTAATGTATCTATTTGCACAATAGATTCATTTGTATGTAATAAATATTATTCATCGCATACGTACATGCACACACACACTTAGGACCTTATCCTCTCTCACTGAAGTCAATGACAAAACTCACATTGACTTCAACAAAAGTAGAACAGGAGCTTTACTGGATATTCTCCAAAACATCTTTCAGCTAGTGAAGAAAGAGCGATATTTTACTGTGAGAGTATACCTTAGCATCATCACAGAGCTAAAGTTATTTCCTTGAGTTTGATATAAAACATCTCTCTCTTTTTTTTATATAGTATAACTGAAAAGCAATACTGGAAAATTAAAATAATTTTGCCAACTTATGGAGAAAGTTTTGCATTGTTTTCTTTGGAAGGTTTTTTGAAAATCTGTGGGATTTTTTTTTTTAATATATTACTAAATATACATGTAAAAACATGTTTTTACTAAATATACATGCGGGTTAGTAACTTATGTTTATAGATGAGTTTTAAATGAAACTCGGTGTTTAATTCACCTGATCTTGTCTTTTCTTAATCCTTCCCATCTGCTGAATATATTTTCTTCCCAAAAATATTTTTCTTTCCAAAGACCTCCCACTTCCTTTTATCCCTCCCTTTGCAGATGTTGTCAGTCCTTCCTCCACTACATCTTTCCATCCGTCCCCAGATAGAATACAGTAGCAGCTCAACAGAGGAGCTGCAGAAAAGTGAAGTGTTGCTTAGCCCTGCTGCCCAGAGAGAAGTGGGGGGGAAAGAGCCTTGTTGGTGCCCTTCCCATGTAGAGGAGGGGGATAAGGGGAGACACCGGCACTTCCAGGGATCTAGAGCCTGGAGGGATTCTGATGACAAATCACACTGGAAACAATACTTAAAAGTAAAAGAAGATCAAAGAAAGGTGCTCCAATTGCTACATTAGGCATGGCATCCATCTAAATCTTTAAATACCGGGTATTTGGGCCAAAAAGTGCAGCAGCATCAGATGTCCTTAGTCCTGATGTCAATTTCAACACTAAGAAGGGCCGTATTACAAAACCATGTTAGGATTCATCACCTGGTCTCAGCTACTTGGATAGTGTGTTATACATGAACTGGTAATACAGACTCCAGGCCACATTGTGGCTATGGCAGGCTGGAAGTGGGGAGAGGGCACAAGAAGCCCTTTGTCCCTTGCTTAGCACACTTGTGCAGGAGGCAGCATTATTTGGCTGCAGGCTGCCGTAATGGAAGAAGGGGCAAGCTAGCACCATGAGAAACGATACTGTATCCAGAATGCATTTCTTGGCAGAGTGAGGGCAGGATCATGGCACCAGCCCACTAGGATAGCTTCACTTGTTTAGCAAGGGCTACCTCTACTCTTGCTCCCACTACTGCCCATGCGATACTAATGCCATTAAGGTGGTACACCTCCTCCCCATACCCTTTCCAACGGAGTCTCTTCTGGCTTAACTGAGCCCTGTCTATATTTGACAGATAAAGCAAGAGTCATAGCTCTGATACCACCAGAGAGCTGTATTTCACATAAGTAACAGCAAAGCTGTGAAATATGACTTCTTGCCAGCTGGCTGGCTGATTTTTGCTATAATATCCAGTATCTGCTGAATATTAACAAACACAGCGCAAGTCCTTCTCATGTCCCTGAGGCACTTTTTCCTTTAACCTCACTTGGCTTAGGGTATTGTAATGGACATTTTATCTGATTATTACTCTGACTGCCTGGGTGCCACTAGAAGCGCAGATGGGAAGAGGGAGAGAAGGCACTTGAAAAACACAGGGCCTGATTCTCTTGATACACTGGTTTTGTACCAATATGACTCCACTGACTTCAGAGGGGTTACTCCTGTTTCAAACCGGTATAAGAAAGAGGAGCATCAGACCCAAAGTCATTATTTTTAGATTGGCAGGAAGGGGCGGGGGGGGGGAGCAGCTGTGCCTGGTGTCCTCAGCCATAAAAAATAGAAGCAAGCAATGCTCTAGAATGTATAAACAGGTCATTGGTTGCTTTGCTTTAGTACCTGCAGGGTAGAGATGACTTCATCACCCACTTCCTTGGTGGAAACAAGATAGCGGGACATTTCAGGGTTAATGATTCGATCCTCTTTCTCCCAGCGGACTATGATGGGTTTCTCTCCATGTGCTGTGCAGCTCATCTCCTTCTTTTGACCCTGTGTTGCCAAAGTGGTGTTTGGATAGGAAGTGATCATAGCAGGAACTAAAATCAAAAACAAGGCAGCTCATCAGTGAGACAGCTATTGTAACTGAGGTCTGGCCTCGTAGTCTCAGGCTCAGCCATGCTCTTGATATGTCACTAGCTAGCACAAATACTTAGACAATGGCTTTATTTTCATTTTTATATAATATAAGAAATAATATTTTAGCTGAAGATGGTCCTGAGCCAACATCTGAGATCCAAACAATTCTTCCCACACATTAGGGTTCTAGGAATCTAGATTTGAAGCTTGAGTCCATCCTTATCTTTAATAAATTAAAATATGCATAGATACAGAAAATTACCGTGAGCCATAAGCAGTCAGGTCCGTGGCCTGTAAAGATGTGATGGAAGAACTTTATACTCAGTGCCATGCTACTATGATGAGATTCAGCAGAAATGACTGAGGAAGACCAATGGGACACGTATTTACATTTTTATTTATTTATAAATATATTCTGCATTATTGTCAGCATTACAGTGGAGATCAGAGCCCCATTAAGCTAGGAGCTGTACAAAAACACAAGAGACAGATGGCTGCATAGAGGAACTTATGATCTATGTATGCAGAGTATATACCATAATTATCATATGTACTGCACATGTTTATATATAAAGCTGATGCTAAATCTACCCTGATTTTCTCCTACTATATTGAGTAATCAGTTTGGACATGATTTCAGCCTATTCACACTAAGTGTCTGCTGTGTTGGCTCTACAGGGCTAAGAAGAATAAAAAAGCTGTAAAATCTTACTTTTGTCACAATCTATATAAAGAAAATGCAATTTTCAAGTTTCATTTCAAAATCTACATTATGGCATAGATGTAATTATCTGTAGTGCTCAGAAGTCTTTTACTGCATGTCCTCCCCTCATGGTTCCTTAAAAAGACCAGCTCAGAACTGACAAATCCAAAACTGAACCTCCTCTCAAAATACCATTTCAACAAAATCAGACCCTGAAATCTCTGCCTTCTTTTGACACTGGGTGATGCAATAAAGTAAACCACAGCTGAGTGACTCACCAACAAGCACACCGGGTGCTGGGTTAGTTTGTGGTTGCTGCACTGCACTGTCTCTCTGCTCTGCTTGTTCTGGTCTCGTGAGCCAGAAGGTAACTGACATTTAGAAGACTCCTAAATTTTGACAGTAGCCTGATCACAAGAAAGAAGCAGCAGAGCCACACAGAGGAACAGTGTGGCATCAGCTTTGTGTCCAATTGTATATGTAAGTTTCTGAACAACATGCTCTAAAGCAGGCCAGGATGGGCCGTGGAGAAATCAGACATGTTGCCCGTGAAGTGGAATCTGGAATGAACTCAGGGCCACTGCCTCTCCCCTCCGCACACATTGGCCAAAAAGTGAGCACTGCCACAAATGCTGTGATCTGCTGCTGAATATCACACTACACTACACTCACTCTTGACCACCTATGGCTTTTCTACACAGCATTTTGGAGCAAGCCACCCAGCCTGCGTCAACAGCCCTGGGCTAGCAGGGCTTGTGCTAGAGCAGTGGCTCTCAAACTTTTGTACTGGTGACCCCTTTTCACATAGCAAGTCTCTGAGTGCGACCCCCCCTTATAAATTAAAAACACTTGTTTATATATTTAACACCATTATAAATCCTGGCGGCAAAGCGGGGTTTGGGGTGGAGGCTGACAGCTCACAACCCCCCATGTAATAACCTCACGGCCCCCTGAGGGGTCCCGACCCCCAGTTTGAGAACCCCTGTGCTAGAGCTCTAAAAATAGCTGTATAAACAGTACTTTAAGTTGTAGCTCAGGCTCTGAGTCAAGGAGGGGTGTGGGCTTCAGAGCCCTGCTCCAGCCTGAGCTACAACTTCAGAGTGCTCTCTATACAGATATTTTTAGAGTGCTAGGAAGAGCCCCTCTAATCCAAGTTGGTTGACTTTAGCTGGGAGGTGATCTCCAAAATGCTGTGTAGACATACACCTAGATTCTGCTCCGAGTTGCCACCTGAGGGAGTGGAGAAGTGCTTTATTCACTCACACATCTGGCTCCCGGTTTATATGGAGATCATAGCAGGTGAGAAGAAAGAACCATTCAGTGATTAGAACCCAGCCTGACCTGTGCTGCTGCTGCAGCATCAGAATGAGATGCGGCTGAGGTCCTTCTGTCTGTCTGATAAACCAGCCACAAGCCTCCTGCTTCTTCCCAGGAAAGGAGCAAAGCCTGCTTCCTTTTCTTCATCTTGGAGCCAGGCAGGCTAAGTGTTCCCTTCTTCTGGGTGCTACCATCATTAAGCTGTTGGCTGAGCAGAGTGAAAAAACAGTCCCCATCTGAGGAAATGGACTGAAGTAAGTCTGCTCAAGAGAGCCACATCCATCTTTACACTGACAGGAAGTAGGTTTGCCCACAGATTGGATTTTGGGTACAATCTTGAAGATGTGTCCTCTGATCTTGGGTTTCCCGATAGGCTACCACAGGCACAAGGTATAAAAAATGGTGCCATGTTGTGCCTCACCCTGCTATCCAGTGTTTGGAATAACAGTGGATAAAAGGATGTGGACATGAGTGTCAATGATAAGGACAGGCAGATATGAGGAGTGTCGCCATTGTAATGATGCTGCCTCTGGCAGGACACAACTGAGAGCATCAATTCAGGACAAATTGCTTAGAGCAGGGCAGTTACAGCCCAAAGCTGGGTTTCCTTTATTATTAAGGTATACCAAATCAGCCAAACAGAGAGGACTTCGGTCTCACCCCACTGGCTAACCAGAAGTCATACAAGCAATTCCCTTAGACACTCCAGTTTCCCAGTATCACCACCAATGCCACTCGTTATGGGGATGAATGCTTATGAAAACCAACACCCCAGTAAAAGAAAAAAGGTTCTCCCAATCCCAAAGGACCAAGCCCCAGACCCGGGTCAATATATAAGTCCAATCTTACCCACAAATCACTCTGTTGCCAATCCTTTAGAATCTAAAATCTAAAGGTTTATTCATAAAAAGAAAGAAATACAGATGAGAGTTAGAATTGGTTAAATGGAATCAATTACATGCAGTAATGGCAAAGTTCTTGATTCAGGCTTGTAACAGTGATGGAATAAACTGCAGGCTCAAATCAAGTTTCTGAAGTACATCCACAGCTTGGATGGGTCATTCAGTCATTTGTTCAGAGCTTCAGTTTGTAGCAAAGTTACTCCAGAGGTAAGAAGAAGGATTGAAGACAAAATGGAAATGATGCAGCTGCCTTTTATATTCTCTGCCATGTGGAAGGACACCCCTTTGTTCTTACTGTGGAAAATTACAGCAGCAAGATGGAGTTTGGAGTCACATGGGCAAGTCACATGTCCATGCATGACTCATTTCTTTACAGGCCGATGCCATTGTTTACATGTTTCAGAGTAGCAGCCGTGTTAGTCTGTATCCGCAAAAAGAACAGGAGTACTTATGGCACCTTAGAGACTAACAAATTTATTAGAGCATAAGCATTGTTTACATGTTACTTTGAACTGTTCCCAGGAAAGCTCAGATGTGGATTGGCGTCTCCCAAAATCCATTGTCAGTTAAGTGTTTCTTGATTGGGCACTTAATCTGCAGATTCCTTTCTCAAGAAGCTGACCAAATGCTTCACTAATGCTACTTAAAATCAAACACATTGAGATACAAGTACATAGCCAATATTCATAACTTTTACTACAAAATGATACACACATACAGATAGCATAATCAAAACCAGCAAATTATAACCTTTTCAACAACAACCTTTGTACAATATTTGCTGCAAATATATGACAGTGGTTGCAACAATGATCTATATGGTCACAGTTTATGTCAATAATGTCACACCCTGCTATCCAGTGTTTGGAATAATGGTGGATAAAAGGGTGTGGACATGACTGTCAATGGATAAGGACAGGCAGATATAAAGAGTGTCGGTGGATAGAGGCGACGAAGGATTAACCCTTTCAAATGCTCTGGACTGAGACTAAAAATGTTGCTTCACTGCCTCAGCCCTCTCCAAGCCTTGGAAAGTAATGAAAAAATAAAGACCTTCCGTGTTGTGTGGGGGGGTGTGTGTGAGAGGGAGCATAGGAGAAACACAGTATATTATTGTGATAATATGTTCATATGAAGATCATAAAGAAAGCGTATGACAGAAAAAAAATCTTAAAGAAATGATTTCAGGTCTCCACTATCAGCCATTCAGGCAGTTAAAAACACAACTAGTACCTTTCCATGTCAACCCTTGCTGTAGGGTTGTTATGCAGTAATGGATGGGAGGAAAGGGGGCCTGGGCAATTGCGAATAGGAAGGACGTCTGTCACTCAGTTAAGATCTGGCCCATGCTGAAAAAGTTTGAAAGCTCTGTGTGCTGAATGGAACCACCTTCCTCTGAATCGAATAGGCCCTTTACTTGGAGGTGCCTGGGAGCAGAAGTAGAGGGAGGACACTCCTTGCCAGCCTCTCACATCCAGAGCTACTTCCACAGTACCCTTCTCTCCACTTCTATGCCTGGTGAGCCTGCCTCTTTCTGTCAGGCAAATAGTCAATTTGTTTCATTTACATTTTTGTGGGTCTCAATTTCAGAAAGAAAATAGTGCCACTCAACTTGGTTCGGGGCCTTTCCAGTCTTTTCTTCCAGACTAAGCCACTGCTAGTGGACAGAAGAAGAAACCTTTTTTAAACGAATTACTATAATTGCTGTTTTGAAATGCTAATGTTTGGTGGCATGACCTTTTCACATGTCAGAGCTATTGATGCTTGGATATGACAATATGTCAGGATGCAGCCCTTTCCGTTAGAAGGGTTTCTGAACCATAACAAACGGATCTGATAATTAACAGGATTGTGGAGCTGTGGGTTAGAATTAAAAATTGGATCTAATTACAGAAGGGATTCTTAGAAAGGTTTTCTCTGAGATATGATGCACTTACCAGGCATCATTATGCAGTCTGATTATCTATGTCTTGTAAAACTGTTTGTATATTAAATCCTGATAAACTTTTTTACAGAGAAGTGTTCCACATTAAAGATT